TTTTAAAGCGTAAAATACGCCGATACTCACATTATCTGGAATCTGTTATATTTAAATAATATAATCAGTAATCTTATTTTATTATTGACCTGTGGTTTTGAATTTTACAACTACTTTTTTCAATATAAATGTCTATAAATTTACAAATAAAAAATCTATAAAATTATGGACTGACCATAAATATGAAATCCTACATCTGATGAAGGCAAAACTGTGGGAAATCAGATTACATGTATGAAATAAGTATATCTGAACTTAAGTCATATTGTATTTTAACAATTATAATTATTACCAGTCCTTTAAAATTTTGGACCTCTAGATAAGGATTTTATTCATTACAGGCTGGGGCAGTAACCTCCAGTCGCTTGCAAAAATCATGATCACAAAATTGAAAACTACATTTTTCTACCTATTTATAACATTTTACCTGTATACCATGACAAGTTTTGGGCGTATTTTGTTTAGGCTTAGATAGCTAAATACAGTAAATTGAGTTATAGGATGTGTGTTCAAAAAAGTAGTCAAAAATGTAATAATAATTTAAAGAAATATCTTTCCATGTTTCTGAATAAGTCCAGATATTAATTTATGTGGTTTTCAACAATAAAGAAGTGAATAAAACAAACCAATATGTTAATAAATTTAAAGTGGACCGAGTTTGAAAAAGCCGAGCTGTACTCGGGGCCGAGTAACGTTTTAGGGCCGAGTTTGTAATGCCCACTTAAATTTGCCCCAGTCTATCAAGCGGAATATATAAATAGCTTTACCAGATTGTGAAGAAAACTTGATTATACATACGGAAATAGTTTGCAAACCAAAAATATCAAACGTTAATAGCTGGGACTTCGTAATTGATAGCAAATCTTCTCAGGCCTTTTCTCGGAATAACTGACCAAGATGGCGATTTTCCGGGGAAAATGACGTCAGAGGGAATATAGTTCGTATTCATACGCATACAAATTTTTACTCTGTCATTCACACTTTTTAACCATTTTAAGCTTGAAAAGTTATCATATATGAAAATCGTATCCATTTTTTCCTGAATTATTGTGTTCTATGATAGTTAGTTAATTTATGACTTTGATAAAATTGGCACCAAATGTATGCAAGTACTTTGGCTCTCGTGCATCCGGGAACGCAGAAGGTAGAACAAATTAACTGGTTCTCATTAAATTTTTATCGACTGCTAGCGTAGTAAATATTCAAATCGCGTAAAGCAATGGTATATGTAATTTTGTGATAAAAGGATTTAAAATTTAGTAATAAAATGACCAGTCAATTTCAAAATAGATACGGTATAATGATGATCTGAATATTATGGCAAAATATTGGAACTATTTTTGCTCAGCGCAGCAAGATAGCCTAAACGCGTTCAAAGGGTAGTAAGCTGAATTTATCGTAATTACACTGGGGGCTTGCGCCCCAAAAAATGTTAATCACTTAAAACTTTTGGTCCTGGAAGACAAAGGGTCCAGCTGAAACCATTAACACCGAGTCCAATCGTTCACTATGTTTCCCAGGCGGAGAACGCATGAAGAGATCAATTTTACAGGTGGAAAACAGATACTGTGGTTAGAAAATTGTCTTCAATTTCTTTGAAAATGCATATTTCACAAAACTGTATAGCCTATTCTGATCTCGTATGATTATTTTATCCGACAGGCATCCCAAACTCGCCAAATCTTTTGCTAACTTATTAGATCATTATCGACAACTGCACAAGAAAAGTCACAAAATTGGTAAAATCGCTATTTGATAGCCAATAACTTGGCATCCAAGCAAACTTCTAAACATTTGTATCGCTCTAAAGGTTCTTTATTAACATATCCTCATCCACCAAAAGCCTGTTTCTATTTCTTTTCCGTATTTTTGGAGTATAATATCGTTTAAGCGAATTTTCAAAATGAACGCATGAGCCGAACTTTTCATGTGGTTTCATCAGATTGCAAAATGAACGCATGAGCAGGCGGATTTTTCGGTTACTCCAGTTTTCATGGATATCTCACATGTTATCGATCACTGAACCTTTAAATTCCAAAATTTTCGTTCCAAATGTTTGAGCAAACAGAAATCCCTATTTTAATACCTTATGACGAATTGCTTATAAGCAATAGATGAAGGTCTGTTCGGTTCTGTGGAAATATAATAAATCCTTATTTCTAAAACTTTGAGTAAAATATTTGCAAAATACAACATTATTGGTTGATGGGACTTAAATTTCCTGTATTTTATATAGAGTATATTATGCGAGACTCTGGCGCGCATTATATTATCTTATTCAACGAGTGCAATAAATTCAGTAATGAACTTACACGAATTTAATATTCTATTTATCACATACCAAAAATAAAGACTGTTTAAAGTGAAAAAAAGAGTCATTTTTCATTGACGCGCCTATAATATAACGCTAACATTTAGCGCGTCTTTACACTATGTTTGTATAACGCTAACGACGTCACGTCAAAATATATGCACGGCCGGGCAATACCATAATTATTTTAAACTCCTCACAGCGGTTACGTCACGCTTTGCTACTTTATCTAATCCTGTTTACAAGGGGAGATCACTGCGTAGGAGATTGACCATATTTACGGAGTCGCAAAATCGGCATGGGTGTGTGATAAATTAAAGATGTAGCATACACTTAAAGATCCAGTGACTCAAAATTTTATGTTCTTATGAAAAATCGTTGGCTTAAATAAAGAATTAACAATGTTAAAAGTTACAGAAAACCTTTTTGATAAGGATATTGCCAAAATTCAATATTTCCGATAAAATGGGAGATAATTAGAAATCTGTTTTTTGGTAAAAAAAAATCAGTTTTGCATTCCAATAAAAATTTTACAACCTTTTTTCCTCAAGAAATATCATATAATGTGTTTAATAATGTCAACTTCTTAAGTACATGTTTTTCATAAGAACTGACTTTATATACAACTTTCGCAAGGATGTTACATCCTAGCTTAATTATAAAATACAGGATCTTTAAGCAAGAATATATATATATCACCTTCTTTACAACAAAATGAACATTCAAGAAAATGTTGAAATACAACATATCTTTTAGCTCGTAGAGCTATTGTAGTCACTCGAGCGTCGGCGTCGGCGTAACCACTTATGTTAAAGTTTTTGTAATAGTTCAAATATTTTCAAAGTCCATTGACATATGGCTTTGAAACTTTGCACACTTGTTCACTATCATGACCACAACCTGTAGACAGGAGGAGGTAACTCTATCAAGAATTTTGACAGAATTATGCCCCTTTTTCGACTTAGAATTTACGTTAAAGTTTTTGTAATAGTTCAAATATTTTCAAAGTCCATTGACATATGGCTTTGAAACTTTGCACACTTGTTCACCATCATGACCCCAACCTGTAGACAGGAGGATGTAACTCTATCAAGAATTTTGTCAGAAAATATGCCCCTTTTTCGACTTAGAATTTACGTTAAAGTTTTTGTAATAGTTCAAATATTTTCAAAGTCCATCGACATATGGCTTTGACACTTTGCACACTTGTTCACCATCATAACCCCAACTTGTAGACAGGAGGAGGTAACTGTATTAAGCCTTTTTTACTATCAAGCACTAAGAATAGTCGAGCGTTGCTGTCCTACCGACAGCATCGTTAAGGTTCATTATAAGTTTTTCTTTTAAAAATTATACACTTTTTATTTTAATGCAGAATAGGCAAAGTATTTATCAAAATGTGTTTCTAATTACCTCCCTTTATTTACAGAACTTGTTAAATTCGATAATATATATGTAAGATTTAAAATATTGGTAATTCTTTATTTGAATATCAGCTAGGTTTATCATAGTACACATGTATTAGACTATTAATGTTTTGAGGTACAGGGACTTTAAAAGAGTATACATACGCTATTATTTGTCATTTGTCCTTTGTTGTATTTGTTGTTTAATATTATGCATGTATGATAGTATTTGTATACAATTATTCAGGATTCATGATTTAATTATCAAAGTACATATTTTGTAAAACAATCATTTACAATGCGTGCAAAGGATTTGTAAGATTATTATATAAATCAGCTTAATGTCGTCAGTTGTTGATTTTATTCAACATGACAAGACTTAGTTATCTCTCCGTTTTATGTATTAAACAATATTTACAAGTTTACAAGTTTTCGAGGAGCTATTATGTTTTTCTTTGTCGTCTTAACAACTGCTTTTTCAAATAATACAAACGAAGAATTACTTCAATTTTACACGATCTTTCCCAACAAACCTCGTACTTTTGCTAATTAGCATATATATACAGCGTACAAAGTATATTTTAATTTGTAAAAAGAAGTGTCTCTCACTTATTTGGAATAAAATTTGAAAATTTTAAAGTTTGAATATGTTAAATTTGTTAGATAATTAAGAAAAACTGGAGTTTTAAAAAATACCACCTGCTCATGCGTTCACTTTTCAAACCTATGAAACCACATGAAAAGTTCGGCTCATGCGTTCATTTTGAAAATTCGCTTAAACGATATTATACTCCAAAAATACGGAATAGAAATAGAGCAGGCTTTTGGTGGATGAGGATATGTTAATAAAGAACCTTTAGAGCGATACAAATGTTTAGAAGTTTGCTTGGAAGTCAAGTTATTGGCTATCAAAGAGCGATTTAACCAATTTTGTGACTTTTCTTGTGCAGTTGTCGATAATGATCTAATAAGTTAACGAAGATTTGGCAAGTTTGAGATGCCTGTCTGATAAAGTAATCATACGAGATCAGAATAGGCTATAAAGTTTAATGAAATATGCATTTTCAAAGAAATTGAAGACAATTTTCTTACCACAGTATCGGTTTTCCACCTGTAAAATTGATCTCTTCATGCGTTCTCCGCCTGGGAAACATAGTGAACGATTGGACTCGGTGATTAAGATCATTTCTATGAGGTATGATCAATATGTACAAAGAGGTTTTGAGGGAAATAAATGAAACAATCGTACTCATTGAAAGCAACACATCATACAATCCAAAATATTTTCCTTTGAACTTAATGAAATAAAACAAAAGATATGCAGAACTGGCAGGCAATAACACTTGTTAATATAGTAATGTTGAAACATTGTCTTTCATTTGCAAATTTTTTTGTTCATTTCCTTTCATATTTTCTATTAAACTTTCTTTGTTCATAAGAATTTTCCTTACTATGTGTGTATTTTCCCCTCTTATCATAAACGTTTTTTGAATCTTTAGAAAACTTTTGATACCGATCTTTGAATTTATTTGGACTCCTATCCGTATAAATTTTCGAGTTTTGTGTGAATTTGTTATCTCTATATTGGACTAACTCTGTATCAGTGTGGTTCTCCAGAAACACGCCACCAGTATCTTGAATATCGTCTTGGTCTGAAAACTGTTCACGAGTTCTTGCTTCAAGTAAATCCTGGAATTCCTTAGAAGCTATCTGTGAAAGGTCTTTTAACAAATCTATATACTTGGGATCTTCAAAATCAATATAGTTTGTTTCTTTATTCTCTTTCACAAATTCCTTGTCTTTTTTATAGTCGTCAAGAATTGCACTTAATATACCTCTCGTCTTAGGTCTCCTTTCCTCTGCTACGTCTAGAAGGGTTTTTTGAAGATTTTGCGGTTCCGGTATGGGAAATGATTTTGATCCGGCGGCATTTACTATATAACTCATTTTCTCACTTTCAAGCAGTGACCTGTTGGATAGAAAAAAATTGAAATGTTGAAGATTTCAAAATTCCATTAATTATATTAATTATAAAAGTTTTAATTCTTGAAAAAATTGTTGGTTCTAATGTTTAATCTAAGGAGCTCCATTAAAGTCTAAAAGTGAAAAAAAACATAGAAATTTGAAATTTTTACATACAAGTACATGTAGATCATATTAGCAATTAAATCAGAAAAATATGCAAAAGAATATTAAGAGATAATAATATTACTTAGATTTTAATTGAAAATTAATTTTTGTGCAATCCTTTATCAAATTTGAGTTGAAAAAAAGTTTTTGAAAGGGATTTTCATTTTTTGGGTCATTTTGCACAATTTAAACAATCATTCTTGAAAAAACTGGAGTGAGCGAATTATTTGAAATTTTGCAAAAGAGTTACGGCCAGACCTACATCAAATCACAAAAAAGCTACATCTAGCCCCCTCATGTCAAAATTGTGAAGTCTCCTTATTAAGTGTAAAGCTATACAAAATAAGATATATAATTAAATAAGTTTTTAAAGAATGTAACAATCAAAGGTGACAGACTATCTAATTACTATATATCTCTCTCTAGTGACATTTCTTAACCCGTTGCAATGCAGAAAAACAATTTGTGGACAACAGAAAGATGGATGACAAAATGTTATCGATCTTTAGTTCACGAAACATTTTAAAACAGTAAAAAAAATAATTATACTACTATGTCATTCTGACTATTAAGCTCTCCCTTTCTTTTTTCCTCTGATTCAATTCATTTACCTGAATTTTGGATCCACCGGCTTCCCTTCAATCAAGTTCCGTTTTTCTTTCGCCAACTGTATCCAGTTTGAGATAACATCTTGATCGTACTCCTGTACAAACTTTTCATTTGGAGGTAAAAAGTCATACCGTAAAATTGCTTTAATTGCATTCACAGGAACTGGAAAACTCTGAGAAAGCATTTCTGGTGTCCAATATATTGGATCTTTCTTGTGTAAGTATTGGATCTGCGACCTTGCTGCCCAAGTCAGAATAGTAGGTTCCTTCTGTCGATGAAAATTCCTCAATTTCTTCACAATAATTCTATTCTTTACATACGTTCTTTGTTTTTTCAAAAGTTCACTGGAAATATAAATCAGATTAGTTACAAATAACAATGAACTGTTACAGCTAATGAAATACTATTCCAGTTCAAATGAGAGCTAAAATGTCAAGATCTTATGGCAGAAAACATAAACAAGATTTTAGCAAGAGTCCAGACCAGTCCATGTGAACAAAATGCCATTTTAATTGCAATTTTAATTCTGTTTTGAACATTACATCTGTGATCTCTTTATTTGAAAATGGATAAATCTAATGATCATTAGTTTGATAAATAGTAAATATCAATACTATTAAATCTTTTATTTATACTCTCTTATTGTACATGTATAATGGTGTTGAAATAAATCGTTAAAAAACTTCTATAAATTCTATATTGGGCTGGTCCTGCTTTAAATTTAAAACAATCCATTCAAAGTTCAAGGGATTTCACTATCAAAATACAAAATAAAACGAGCTGCCAACAGTTACATAGAGCTTGGTCAGACTTACTGGTGGCAAAAGCTTTTCACTTTTGGTTCCAGCTGGTTAAGAGTTAATAATAACATTCTGATATAAGTTTGTCAGTTTAATGCTTGTCTTTTTTCATACCTGTATGCCATAAAACAATTATTTCTGAAGTTTCAAGTGAGTAACTTTCTGTGTTGGTGTGAATCAGATTTTGCAAGTTAAGAGCAATAACTGAGCATTTTCTAAGGTCACAAGGGGTATAATTCAGTCAAAAGACTATGCCAGAATTATTGTACTTCAACAATGACCTTCAATTATAACATGGACGTACATGAAATTTCAATTTTTTATATTCAATTTGAATACCTTCAGTGATTTGGAAATAAAACCTGCATGCAAAACATTCACAAGAAATTTTTTAAGATCTCAATTGAAAATCTATGCTGAATTTGAGGACATTGTCATATGTAAAGTATTTAGTGAATAACTTTAGTAATTGCAGATATTGAACTTGTAAGTTTTTTATAACATTGACACTGTTAAGTTAATTTTAAATGATCTATGGCCAGGTAGTCAAACACAAAACTACCTTCATGGAGTCAAATAAGAATATTAAAGATTACCTCAGCTAAATACCTAGGCATGGATATTATATAAGAATACCTTGCATGGAATGCCCACATAAACACTAAACAGGTCATCCAAGAAAGCAAACCAAATCTTAGGATTTCAAATCTCAATCCATTAAGTCTACCAGATATTAGTCAGACACCAGCTTGAATATATATATGGTTATAAAGTATGGTCTACCCACACCAAAATACAAACATATCAAATTAAAAATGTCTTAAGAAGAGCAGCCCGATGAATCAAGCTCATTTATGGTCAAACCTCAGCTAGTGTCACGGACATGTTTCACTCCCTTAAGCTTTTAAAATTGGAACTCAGACGTATAGATGCTTGGTTACCCCTTTTCTATAAGATTCAACATGGTCTGGTTGCTATCCCCATAGAATAATATATGACACCCTCTCATGAACATCACGTCATGTTATAGGTTATTCACAGCACAGACAATTATAAATTCTCCTTTTCTAGGACAGTATACCACTGGAACCACCTACCCCCTTCAGTTGCCTTACTCCCTACCCCAGAGCAGTTCAGTGCAGCCATAGCTTGGATTGAACATGTCTCACCCTAGTTTTCCAGCTGATCCCGTTTTTAACATTTTTAAATATTCATCTCTCAATAGTTTTATCCTGTTAGTAAACACCTCTTTTTACTTTTCTTGCAATTTCAATGCACAGAAATGTCTACATCCCCTACATTGACATTAATGGAAGATATATAGATAGATGGATTATTGTAAGTACTGCCCTTTGAAATATTGCTATTTTGTGTATGGATAATATCCCCTCGAGATTCTGACCCAGGAGAAAAATATCTCAGATATCTAAGGTAGTCCAACTAATTAGACTTGTCATAGAGAAATCGAGATAATTTTTGACAGGTGATTCTTTTTAACCTGTTAACAGTTTGACAGTATGAAAAAAGTAAAATTGGTCAAATCGCGCATGCCAAATTCATTAGGCTACATGGCCAATATGCGCATCCAAAAGTTTTCCCAATCCCTCTACTATGACTAGGATCTATACCAGGGTTGGTAAAGGTCATCTTAATGTCATTTTTGTCTTCCCTTTTCAAGAATGTCTTTCGCCTAGTTTAGTTTGGGCTTTAATTTTACTGTTTAATCAATTCTCCTATGGACAGATCATTTTTATAGTGGTAAGTGGAGGCCAATGTAAATCACCATTTTCATATAAGAGAACAGTTCAAGAAATAAAGAATGGTTAAGAGTGAGGATTGGTGGAGTAACTGACTGACTACCTTTTTGTCAATGGTTTTTTAGTTTGAGTTTTACGGCTTATTTCCTCTTCAAATTTGTCTTCAAGAAATAAATCATTATCTACTGAATCTGTGAACTTAAATCTCATGAATGAACATTTCATAAGGAAATTATCATTGTCGCGAAGTACAATGACAGCTCTATTTATCAGTCCAATTCTGTATTTGATGAATGCTGCCATGATAAACGGAAGTTAACAATTTTCATGAGCGTGTAAATTGAACGACGACACCGGTCTCAAATTTAACTTTTTGGAACCCCACAGAAAATGTTTTCCCGACTTTGTCAAAGATCAGTGTCCCTAAGCAGGGTAATGTATGATAAGTTCTATTTTAAACCGGTAAGGTATGAATTTTTCTGCTGGAATAAGAAAGAAGATTTGGCGATATCTTTTCGAAAGCTGTTAAGGGCGTTTTTGTCCACTCCATGTTAAAAAAATACAAGGTTACGTAAACCGTGTTACTGATTTTTCTTAAAGTTACCAAGAACCTGGGCTTCAGTGTCAATAGATGTGTTGCGGCCCAATCCTAAAGCAACGAATCCGCAATTACAGAAATGCCAAATATTTATTATGTTGTAACTCCCATCAAACAAATGTGTTTGCCTTACCTATAATTTGAGGAATTTGACAGCTGTGTGATCTTAAATAATATTTAATTGCTAAAGGTGAATTAACTAAAACTTTAACAGCAAATTAACAAAATAAAAAATTGTTATGTTGATCCACCTAAGAAGAGCCTGCAAATCGAAGGTCTCCGGTCTGACACGAAAGAATGTAGAAAAGAGACTGTTGTAGGGTATTCGTTTGACCCGAGTCCTCAGGTTTTGACCCGTGAAGATTCTGATATGCACTCATTTGACTGGTCATAAAATCAGCTAGCCTGTCATAATTGTACATAATTATTTGTTTATGTGTATTTTACCATTTCAAAGGTAATATTTCCCTACTAAACATTTACAGCCTTCAATTAAAAACACTGTCCATATTCAACGAGACTGTTGATAGGTTGGCCAAAAACCAGACTGATCATAATTGAGCATAATTATGCATAATGCTCCTGGTTAACGTTTGGGAAATTATTCTGCAATGCAAATAATATCTTAACAAATGCAGTGTTCCCACTTCTATTTTTCATTGTGGGTATTTTTACCCCTTACCTTTGAAAACTGGGGGTAAAATAAAAAATTTAGGGGGTTCATAAATTTGTACAATAATTATATGAAATTAAAGGATAATTCCAAAACCATACATCAGACAACTAATCTATTTTCTTCAAGATTCACTCCACCCACTCCCCACCCCCTTTAAGTAAAATTCATTGTGACCAACACATACTGGCATATACCTCCATCTCAATTAATGTAACCATTATTTAAGTTATTTTGATTTATGAACAGCATATAAATCGTTACTACACACCTTTGAACAAAACAAAGCTTCCTTTTTGGATAACAAAATTGGCATCGCGAAAATATGTGACAAATGAAAATGTGTCTGTTTTCTGCAGAAACATTCACAATTCCAGTTGTTGCTGATTACTATTATATTAGAATTAATATTTTTTAATATTTCAAGATTGTTTTTCATCGGCTATTCTTACAGGCATCATAAAACAAGAATTTCAAATTTGTAATTCACGGCAATAATTCCCAGTGGGGGGTCTGTAAACTTCATTGCGAATTTGGAGATTTTCTCACATTTCATCAATTTCAATGCACTTTAAGTGACTTTTGTTTGAGAAATTGCTCAAAATAATAATTTTTGAATTATATATATGTGCGTATTTTTACCCTCTTGCCTAAATTTCTGTACGTGAATTTTGGCATTTATGCGTAAAATACGCACATATGTGCGTAAATGGGAACACTGAAATGTGTATACAATACACAATAGTCAATATATTGTTTATGCTGTAAATTATGTATTTTAGACAGCCTTACTGAACCGCTATCAAAGTACCCTAGTGGTAGCAGAACACAACAATGAGCAATTATCCCCCGTCACTTTAAATACAATAACTGCTGCTAGTAAAATTGGGGATGTCACATGTCTGGTTGCCGGCTCACAGTGTGGAAAGGTAAGCGATAATTTGTATTTAAATATTGTTAGTTAATAAATGTATGTAGTTGCAGAATTTTCTTGTGTATATATTGTGTGATTATCACACTTCTGTACCTCACTTACTTACAGTATGAAAATATCTAAAATTCAGTTTATGACCTGGGGTCCAAACTAGGAGAATGAAAGGTTCAATACTTATAATGATTCCTTGATTTGATAATGTACCTAAATGTACCGGTTGTTTAATCATGTATTTTTTTTATTGATAAAGATGAAAACGTTTTACCACCAACATTTTCAGCTCATAAAAATCATGACAGTACTAATGTCATATGAGGAAATATGGTACCACCAGCTTATGGTTCAAATCCACAATCCCTGGTTCAGAGACTGACACTTAACCACTCAGCCACCTCTCACGGTCACCTGTTCAAAAAGTAACATGATAATGTTAGGCTACCTAGGGTCTTAACTAGGATTCATACCATTTTCTTTAATAATATACAAGGTAGACGCCTGAAATAAACTCAAGAGTCTGATCCAGGAGATTTCTTAGTGTAATTGTATAATTTTATTGACATCATGTTCATTAATTAGTGATACTGATATCTAAACCAACAGGTTGCTGAAGAAGTGAGTAAGGTGACAGGGGTCCAGAAAGTTCTGCTGGCTGACAATGATGCATATAAAGGATTCTTAGCAGGTTAGTATGACGTTACAAAATGTGTAAGATGTATCTATTTATAACTTCTCAAGTTGGTTATGGTTGGTGACTTAATCAGTTGTCCCTTATATTCGTTGATTGAAATCTCTTTAGGGACTTTGGATTTTTGGATGTGAGAAAGCTATATGTATGCATTTAGCAGACGGAAGGTCAGTGGTTCTTCTGCTACTTTTGTCTGAAATAATTGCGTAAGGGCATCTTAGGTCCTCCTGCACAAGTTTAGCCATACAGGAAATATAATGACCCTTGCATTGTTGGTGTGACTTAATACCCAACGAAATAGATAAATGTTAACAATTGTACCAAAAAATGTAACAAATTGTTGATACTGAGTTTAAACAAAACTGATTGTTAAAACAGTGTTTATACCAAGCAAATTGTTAATACAATGTTCAAATCAAGCATGTTTGTTGATAAAGATTGTTTTATATATAATGATATTAGTAACAATAATAATAACTTTATTTTGAGAAGGTGACATATTAAGAGTACATAATCTAGCCTTCTATACACATATAAACAGAAACAACAAAAAAAACTGCAATATAATTACCACAAACACTTTCACGAAAAGAATACATAGCATTTTCATAGAAAGTATTATGGTTATAGCTTAACTTTATACGCATATCCAGTCATCCATCGTATTGATGACAAGGAGTGTTTTATACCAAGCATATGATTCTGTTTATCTGATATCTACATGCATAATGAATTTATATTACATTATATTTTTAGAGTCTATGACACCACTGGTTTTAGCTCTACAGAAACAGTTCAATTTTGAATACATTCTAGCCAGTGCAACTGCGGTTGGAAAGGTTGGTTCCCATTTATTCTCAAAATATGATACATTATATTTTCATAACATAATAAAGAACAAAAATATAAAGAGATTGATTTAAGGATAAAATTATACAAAATGACTATAAGAAAGAGAAAAAAATCATTTCCAATACTTGTTACTTGTGTTAAAATTGCTTCCTTAGTTTTTTTATAAAATGTCAAAATAAGGTTTGTATATAGGTATTCCACCAGTAAAAGTTACTGAAATATACAGGGTTCATTCTGATCTGGAAAAATCATGGAGAATGCGTTTTGACTAGAAAATAATGTAATATTGATTTAATCATGGAAAAAATCATAGAATTTTGGTTCCAGCAGTTTGTAAGAGCGACTATATGTCAGTAATTTGTGCATATCAGGCAGGATTTTCTTCTGTTTACACTGGCTCTAGAAAACCCTGTCTTTTAAAGACAACCTAAATTTTGCCATAAAATCTACATCCTCATTTTATAAAGCTAGATATTTTGAAATTTTATAAACCTCTTGATAAGACCTTCATTTTCATGAATTGAAGTTTGACCATATAAATCCCTATAATGAACTTTGACTTTGAATTTCATTGCTTTATTTGCTTTATGTGGAAAGAGTCATATTACATAATGTCTAAAGAGTCAGATTGCATGATGTCTTATTTCTGGAACAAATGCTTTTTAAAGCAGGATGTTCCAAAAACACCCCTCTGTCTGGCTTGTAGTTACATTCAGAGGGTTGACTTGGGAACTCCTTCCACAGTAAAGCTGAAAATTGACAAAGCATCTCAACAGTGTAGAATACAATATATACATGTATGAAATTAATTAAATTTGCATGATTTATTTTCTTGAAAAATAAATGAAATTTCATGAATTGTATTGATTTATATTTTCAGAATTTTATGCCACGTGTTGCGGCTAAGCTTGATGTTTCCCCAATATCTGACATCACGGGAGTGAAAGATAAAGACACATTTGTTAGGACCATTTATGCAGGTTTGTAAATGATTCATTACACAAGGTTGTGACATAATTTAGTGACAGGATATAGAATTGTGAAATTTGATTTCTGACAATGTGATATAATGTACATGCATATGACATAATAATGTGATATTGTGTTTTTCAATGGTCTCTTCCCAACGAAAATTTTCTTTAAAATCAAATTATCATGCAGTTTCCCCAAAAATTTAAACTTAAACCAGATTTTTAACTTCCCTTATGAGCAATTTTAGCTATAATCAAGAGGCCATTAAGTGAGAGAAACCACTAGCTATTTTGAAAGGCAATGTTTATATTAGCAGGTGGGTTTTCCATTTATAATGATTTTTTATGATTGATTGTTTCATCTAGGAAATGCCGTTCAAACTTTGAAATCCAGCGATCCGGTCAAGGTTATCACTGTACGAGGTACAGCGTTTGAAGCTGCACCAACATCTGGTGGTTCCGGTAGCTCTGAAAATGGTAAGTGAATCATCCGAATTTGTTTGTATATTTTTATCTGGTTTTTATGCCGATTTTAAACACATTTTTAACTAGCCACCAATTAACCAATTTCTTTATTGAATGACAGGCTACTGGTCTCACATGGTGTCTGAGTCTGAGGTGAAACACCACATTTAGCACTTCTGTGCATTGCATGTGAAAAAATCAACTTGATACTTACACTCAAAAAAAGTGAAGTTAATACAGACAATCAATAGCTCTGATAGCATTTTTGAGAAACTGCCTTTGGAAGAAAAAAGTGTTTGGTTATTGCTGATAGGTATTGATTAAGAGTGGATAAATTTGTTGTGAAGTTTTACTTTGGGAATTACTATGATATTGTTGTTAGTCCCCTACCGGTTTACCGGAGGGGACTTTAGGTTTACCCTCCGTCCGTCTGTCCGTCTGTCCGTCCGTCTGTCCGTCTGTCTGTCAGTCCGTCAGTCCGTCCGTCCACAAAACTGGATCCCGCGATAACTTGAAAAGTACTGAAAATATTTTTATGAAACTTGATATATGGATAGATGGCAGTATGGAGATTATGCACGTCTTTTTCTTTTCTTCCTATGTTGAAAATTCTGGTTGCTATGGCAACAAATAGGCTGAAAATATGGCAAATTTTACACATAAACTGGATCCAGTGATAACGCAAAAAGTACTGGAAATATTTTTATGAAACTTAATATATGGATAGATGGCAGTATGGAGATTATGCACGTCTTTTTCTTTTCTTCCTATGTTGAAAATTCTGGTTGCTATGGCAACAAATAGACTGAAAATATGGCAATTTTTACACATAAACTGGACCCAGTGTTAACGCAAAAAGTAATAGAAATATTTTTATGAAATTTGTAATATGTGTAGATGGCAGTCTTGAGATTATACACGTCTTTTTCTTTTCTTCCTATGTTGAAAATTCTGGTTGCTATGGCAACACATAGACTGAAAATATGGCAAATTTTACACATAAACTGAATCCAGTGGTAACTCAAAAAGTACTGGAAATATTTTTATGAAACTTGACATATGGGTAGATGGCAGTCTTGAGATTATGCAGGTCTTATCAGTTCCCCCTATTTTGAAAAAATATTGGTTGCCTTGGCAACAAATAGGCTTAAAACATGGCAAATATAACAATATTTGTGACTAGTCAAAAAGAGCTGAAACTTTTTATGAAATTGCATCTTTAATTCCAGAGTTATCTCCTCTTTAAGAATTTTGCTTTTTAAAATGTTATATTTTGGTAACAGGGATGTTTCAAATATTAACTTTAGAGTGTCCTTCAGTTCGTCTGTCTGTCTGTTCATAAAAACTTTTTCCTGTGATCACTTTTAAAGAACATTTCCAACAAATTTACTTAAAATAGAGAAAAATTTACACATCAGTGAATGGCCAATGGCCCTTCAGAATGCTGATGGGGTTCTATCCGGTAGGGGACTTATGGATTGCTTGCAATACTATGATAATTGCTTGTTTTTTTAGTGGTATTTGCTCTCTACAGGGTCAATGGTGAAATTACTTGATAACACCAATATTCTTTAAACATTTTTCAAAATTAAACAACCATGGTTAATGGATAAGTCAATATTACTCAATATTTAATTTATAGCTATGGTAGTAATAACATTAAAAAATAAAAATATGGTCCAAACTGGAAACAAAAAGGTTACAAAAGTATTTTTTATAGCATTACAGTTTACATCTTTCTGTTCTTACAACATTATTTAATGATGATGGCATGCAAAACATTTGTTGATTATGATAATTGCTTGTTAAAACTTAGTTTGTTTTCGCAGCACCCACTGTAGAAGTACAGAATGACAAATCAGAATTTGTTGGTCAAGAATTAACCAAGAGTGACCGTCCAGAATTAGCAGGGGCCAGGGTAGTAATTTCAGGAGGTAACATTGATTTCAGTTTGATTTTTAGCTTACCTGAAAAATTTCACTGGAATGAGAAGTAAATTTTTAAATCTGGTAAATAATTTTTATGGAATCTTGATAAATTATAAGGAAAATAACTTTTCTTCAATTGCTTATTTGTTTCCAGAGTTATGAGAATTTTAAGACTCAATAGAAATAAAAATAATTTAAGGGATTGCTTTGAATTGCCTCCCTTTATTCATGAAATTTTTTTTAAAGAGTTTGTAAAAAAAAAAAAAAGAACATTTCCTCTGTGAAAGAAACTGAAATGATTCATCTTGTTTCACCAATAATAAAATTATCTGTCCACTTTTTAAAAAAGAAGGAAAGAATCATTCCTGCTTTTTCTAAATCTCTTTTTTTACTTAACTACATTTTTGCCTAAGTGCATGCATATCTTCTTGCTTCACTAATAGGAAAGTACTAAAATTTATGTTTTATCTTTATTAATCATATTCTATCAAAATGAAATAATTTATCCTGATTTTTAATGCGTAAGAGAAAGTGTCCTGTTTAACCGAAATTAAAGAATCTGTTTTTATAAAATCCAATATTTCATATATATGTATTTACACAGCACACAATAAATTGTTCTATAACAAAATATTATCATTCATCATGAATAGTCGTGATAGTCAGATTTTTTGGTAAAAATGAGAGAAAATGAAACTTTATTTTGTCCTACTTTACTGGAATAGAATAATTCATTCTGCTTTAGATGCATAACAAAATGTGTCCTGTTTTACCTAAATGAAATTAAAGCAGTCTTTATTTCATCAAGGTAAAACTCAATGAGTTAATCATCATGTACTGTAATTAAGATAGAATTAATTTTTCACAGGTCGTGGTATGAAGAACGGAGACAATTTCAAGCTCTTGTACGAACTTGCTGACAAAATGAACGCGGCAGTTGGTGCATCTCGTGCAGCAGTAGATGCTGGCTTTGTACCAAATGACATGCAGATTGGACAGACTGGAAAAATTGTTGCACCAGTAAGTTCTGTGTTTCAATGCTTTGTATATACCGGTTTTTAACATTTTCCTGTATCATAATGAATAAATAAAATGATTCGATATTTAAAAAAAAAAAAAGAATCAATGCTGTTCTGTCTGTTAAACATTAAGCAGGGTCCATTTGTAAATTTATAATCTGGAACTGAAGTCAATTAGTGTTAAAACCTGTGATGCCTTGGTTGATAGGTTAATACCTTAACTTTAAAGCCATAACTGTCCCTTTTTCTCCTCTTTATATGCAAAAAAATTGTAAAGGTAATAATAGTTAATTATAAACTTGGTTGCCTCCTCAGGGACATTATACCACTTGCCTTGGTCTGAATCCCAACAGGAACTTTGGATTCTTTTCTATCAGGAAGCTATCTACCTAGCTAGGTTACTGAACATGGTGGTTCTAGTAAAGTGCTCACTTATGCCTTGAATATTGTATTAAGGGGCACATTAGGTCTTCAACTGCAGGTAAAGCTGGTAAAGGGAGGCAATATAAAAACCACACCAAAAAAAAAAAAAGAAAAGTACTGAAATGTCATTTGTGAGTTTGAAGAAGAAAATGAAAAAGTTCTGGTAACTAGAAATTATACCATCCCTAGCCCCTAATAAGACCTTGTGGCTGAGGGGTTGCCTTTAATGGTTGAGGCATATGAATTTTTGCAGCCACCGTTTTTCCCTGCATAATTGTAAAAGGTGACTGAATGAGTTTCAAATAACTGGAGTCTGTGCATTTTTTAGCTCCAGCAGGTGAGGTGGTTTTGACCCCCCGATGTTGCTTTGAAGTTTGTTACACCGGAGGTTAGCCAAAATCATCTTTATTGTTGTGGTGCCACATGACTTATACTGTGCTGGTGTCATGTAAAACCAAACCAACAAACAAGATGTCCATCCTGGCCAGAATTGAGTGATCTTTGGCCAGATCAACTTTTGGGAACCTGATTGAATTGCGACTAGGTTTTAACCTTTGACAATTTAAGTATATATGATGTTTCAATATTTTGTATTTCATTTCAGGATCTATACATTGCTGTAGGGATTTCAGGGGCCATCCAGCACTTGGCTGGTATGAAGGACAGTAAAGTTATTGTTGCTATCAATAAGGATCCAGAGGCCCCAATATTCCAGGTGGCCGACTACGGACTTGTTCAGGATCTTTTCAAGGTCAGTAACTTACATATTTCTGTCTGATCTTTTGTTTTTGTGTGTGTGTGTTTTTTTTTGGGGGGTGGGGGGTTTGTGGTCTTGGGAAAGCTTTTACTTTTTTGTCCATTTCAAATTTGACAGTGAGAATATTGTGGGTATCTTTTAAACATCTGTGCTGTTAAAATATTAAACATCAGTGTTCAAGTCACTATAATTATGACCCTTACAGCTGTACAATGTCTGTGTTACTTTAAACACAACAAACAAAACCAAAAAAAGGGAAGTAACATCAGTGTTCATATTATTGTGATTATAAAAAATCATCTATATAACTGCTCAAAATTTATGATTTAATTTTTTTTGAGTTGTCCCCCTTTATATATATTATTTTTTAAATCATGGACACAAATTTTTACTGTTTAAATGATATTTCTGATTTTTAGTGAGTGGTTAAATATGTTAAGACTTTATCAAATCACAGACTTAGATCTGTATGACTGATATAATGTATAATAGCTCCGTGATCAAATGAAAAATGTAGTGTATAATTTACATGATTTTGAGGAATATGCGTTGAAGGAAAATATTAACTCACCTGGCTTGTACCAGAAGTTATAAGCCTTTGCACACCAGTAAAAATCCAGGCCAGCATGCACATCTTTGCGGTCTGACCACACTTTGTAATGTTGGATGACTTACATTAAATTTTCATCTTGATATCCCCAAAACTGATAATGGACAGTTCCAAAAGTGAAAACCGGATTAGTTCATTTAAGTAATTCAGCAGGTCGTTTGGTAAACCCTGCTATTAATGGTTGCCTGTGCTACAAAATCAAACCAGTTGTCACAATTGTGCAGATTTATCAGACTGGTTAATTTTTTCTATGTTTATATTAAAACCCTTTAAAATGACAATGGACCATTCCAATCATAAAGTAGAGCAAGTCCAATATAGAATTTTAGGTGATGTAAAGGTTAAAGTGAATTGGTCCACAATGGGCACATTTTTCATAAGTGTTTCAAATGTTGATAAAAACTGTAGGAATGTAGCAGTTGGGCATTCTTATAGAATATTTCTTGAAAGAAAAAATGATGATAAAGTTGTAAGTGATTTAGTATGAACCTTTTCATGATATATAATAATACTGTTTTGTCCTAGAACACAATGTCTTATTTGCTGTATAGATACATGCATATGCAGGAGTGGCAAAATTAATTGTCCGTCTTGGCCTCTCTGGACAGGTGGAAATTTTCAAGAATTTTCTATATAAATATCATACGGACAAATTAAGAAATACTTGAGATTAAAACGGACGGGACAAATAAGTCAAAATCAGATTTTGTCGTCTCTGCAAATGTAATATTGGATGCTGTATCTCACACTTGCCAACATTATCCATGAATTATTCTTAGGTGGTTTGTTGTTATGTGTACTTCTACCATAATTGAGCCGCGTCACGACAAAACCAACATAGTGCGATTGCGATCAACATGGATCCAGACCAGCCTGCGCATCCACGCAGTCTGATCAGGATCCATGCTGTTCGCTTACTAACCCTATTACAAGTAGAGAAACTGATAGCGAACAGCATGGATCCTGATCAGACTGCGCGGATGTGCAGGCTGGTCTGGATCCATGCTGGTCGCAAACCCATTATGTTGGTTTTGTCGTGACACGGCTTAATTATTCATCATACATTCCGATACGGACCAATCCACTTTAATGCATGTTTATATTTTTTCTATCCTACAAAGTTTGCAAATAATAGGAATTCCATGATCTGGGTATTTTCCTTACTTATCTTTTTAATGTTTGTGTATTTTGTATGGGGATTTTTCTTCTTATCTTTCTTGTTTGTGAGACATTCAAAGTTTTATCTCTTTGTTTATAGGCTGTCCCAGAGATTACGACCATGGTGAAATAGAGGTCAAGTAGAGGGCAATGTTTAACAGGATTACTGACTAGGTTATAGCATAATTGACTGAAAAAATATTGGATTAAAATTTGGTTTACAAAATATTCTTTGGAATCCATTAATTTAGTCTAGTTTTAATCGTTTAATCTCATTAGATATGTGATTATTGAATGTATGAAAGTGTGAAACAATTTAATGTCTATATACTCCGATTATGAAAACGTAAGCCAAACATAATTAACAAAAAAAGAAAGATAACAACAACAACAACAAAACCACAAACAAACAACAGTATTTGAGCTTGTCTTGAAAAGTAGATTGTATTTATTATAAATTAACTTGTTGAAAATACATACATGTACTTAATCTATATAGTTATTCGTGATGATGAAATTTTTGTGAAAAAATATTATGAACAATTTATGGTGTGTTTTGTTTGTTATTTTTAAGCCAATTACTTAAGTTTGCTTACTATTTATGATTCAGGCCGCCTTATCATTCAAGATTGCCTTTTAATTCAAGCTTGCCCTATCATTTATGTTATCCTGATGATTGTCCTATCATTCAAAATTCAAGTCTGTCCTCTTATTCAAGGTAGTTTTATGTTTTATGTTTTTCATAAGATTGAAAAATGTCCAATGTTTAAAAACTCTAGCTCATTCAATCATTCAATGTTATCCTATTATTGAAGTTTGTCCTAAAATTTAAGTTTGTCCTATCATTGAAGCTTGTCCTATCATTCAAAATGCAAGACTGTCCTCTTTTTCAATGTTGTCCCAAGTTTTCCTACATTAAAAAAATGTCAAATGATTAAAAATTCAACTTTATTCAATCATTCAAGTTTGTCCTATTCAGACTTGTCTTATTAGTCAATCAAGATTCTAACTTTTCCTATATTTCAAAACTTGACCTTTGAATATTCAAGGGAGTTTTATAAATTTAGTTTGTTCCATCACTTAAATGTTTCTACACATTCAGCCTGTCTTCTTATTCAAGCTTGTCCCATTATTCAAGATTTTTTTTCCTGTTCTTCAATGATTTAAGTCTGTCCGATCATTCAAGTTTTATATTATTAACATTTGGTTGAGCTATTTAAGTTTGTCATATAACTTAAGATTATCATATTATTCAGGCATGTCATATTGTTTAAGTTTGTCCTGTCATTTAAGCTTGCTCTATCGTTTTTGCTTGTCCAAATCATTTAAATTTGTCCTATAACTGAAGCTTGTCATATTGTTTAAGCTTGTCTTCTCATTTAAACATGTTCTTTTATCCAAGCCTGTCTTATCTTTTAAGTGTGCCCTATCATTTAAGCTTGTCCTTTGAGCTAATCTTAGTGGTCAAGCCTGTTCTATAATTTAAGTTTCCCGTATCATTCAAACTTGTCCTTTCATTTAAGCGTGTCCTAACACTTAAGTATGCCCTATTGTTTAATAGTGTCCTTTCATTGAAGCATGTCCTATCATTTAAGATATCCTACTACTCGAGCTGTTCCTGTTTTTTCCAGCTTGTCCTATCATTTAAGATCATCCTGTGATTGTAGATTGTCGTATCATTTAAGCGTGTCTTATTTTTTTTCAAGCATATCCTAAGATTCATGCATGCCTTACGATAGAAAGTACAAGGTTGTTCTAGGATGCAGCTTGTCCTACCATATAGTTTTGTACTGTAGATATTTTTAAAACCATATTTATTTGGGGCCAACTCTGTGCATATAAAATAGTATAAAATGCACTATCAACATAATAACCAATGTAAAGGTTGAAAGTAAATAAGTCGATAACAATCATACTTTGCTATAGACTTATCCGAAGTTTACGGAAAGAGCCGATGTTTCACGATTGAGCCAATAAATGAAATTATACGAGTATGCAATATAATTTTACGCTTTACAAAAGTACAAATTATTTCCGATATTTTACACAATGGAGTTTACAAAAGATCTTTAAAACATTTTTTTTTCATTTTAAGAAAATATCCGACAATCGATTTAATAGAACCGAACAATTTTGATTATAATATATTGAATAACCAAGTTAAACGTTTATACATTTCTACAAACCCATGTAAAGGTCCAATGAATGCAGGATGTTATTACGGCAGTGATTTCCTTACATACATAGATTATGTCTTTTCTGCACATGTCACTGTGAATAGGAATCGCTGATCATGCAAAAATCATTCCTGTAAACGTTCCTAATTAATGTACGTGTCATTTAGTTAATGTACTAATGACAATGTACTTGTCAAGTTGAAATTTTTCCATGTAAAAACCAGGAAGTGTGAACTGTTTTGTACTTTTTTCGATTTATAGAAAAATATAAATTATTTCTATACTGACTGGAAAAAGGAACAGGTTGTCGGAAGTTGGCGTTTACATGATGGTAATAGTAGGCATACGGACCAAGAATATTAAGTTTTAAGTGATATATTTTACGATTGTTGAATAGAAAAAAAAATATATATACAAATATATTAAAATATATGAAAGAAATGTTCCAATCTTCATTTATTTCCGGAAAACCATATTCACTACTATTTAATTCATATAACATCAATAGATATGATAAATTACATTTCAATTTGTGGTGTTTTTTGTATATAATTATAACAATGCATTTGGTACAGCACTTTTATTTCGAAAAAAAGGGTGGTCATTTTTTCAGTAGGCATATGCGGTGACCACGGAAACTGCCCGTTTACAAAAACTCTAATACCTCAACATATATTTGTCTTTTTGTTTTTGAATTCTACCTCATACATCAAATATATAGAAAATTATATGACAGAATTTTTTAGATATCTTCATTTATTTTGACATCGACAAATTGACCAAGTCGCTTGACCTTTGACCTTTTTACGTCTGGCATAAATACAGTTACAGGAAACTTAAAAAAAAACTGTAGAGAACAGATAAGTGTCAAATAATCGTTTGCAAAACGGTTAAAACAAGTATTCCTTAATTTCAATGTATATAGTCATGAGATCAAAAGAATCTCAAATTCGTTGTATGAAATAGTGATATAAAAAACTGTATCAAAACTTGCCAGAGCCTCACTTTATACACGGGTTTTAATTACAAATCCGTGTTTTTCTTGCACTCGTTTAATAAAATTTTATTATTGTATGGCAGTTCATGTGAGATTCTTTATAATAAATAGTATACATTAGAGATTATTTCGGCCGGGAAATTAATTCCGTTTATAGTTTCTAAGTAGCTGAATCCGCATCAGGCACACTTTTTGTTTTTTAGTACGCATTATGCAGCTCTTATTACATAATGACACTGATCTGGCAAATTCTTTAAAGGGACTCCACTGGATTTTTTTTTACATGATGTGCCTTAAAATAATTTTGCTAGGTTATATAAATGTTCCATTTGATGTAGGTCTAGACCAATAACCAATACTAGTAACTTGTATGCAAAATTTCAGATCATTCACTCACTCTGTTTTTGCAGAATAATTCTAATACTAATTATTCTAATACATTGTAGTGGAAAACAACTCAAAAATTTAAAAGCGTTGCAACGTTTTTCTATGAAATTGGGCAAAAATAGCACAAACTTACGATTTTCAATTTACTTCCGAGTATATTCTTTAATTATCTTTTGCACGTCTTTCTGTTTCAAGTGCCCCAGCTAATCTTTGTAAGAAATTCTTATTTCATGTTTTAGGCGTTTGGACCTCAGTGGAGTTCCGATATTTAAATGTCACGTTTTCAAAATTTCGTTTCAGGATACGAAATTCAGTACAAAGTAATTAAGAGCTTCTTTATCTCGTCGGTGTATATAATTTATAATATTGGTATTAATTTAACTTACCCCCAAGCTATTGAAATCAATAGCCATTCAGTAGATATACACCGTATTGGTATTTATCTGATAAATTAGCTTTGTATATATTTCTGTCAACCAATCAAAAAATCACTTGCTCGATGAATCAGTGTCTAAATATAATGTTAGGGGAAATCTTGAAATTTCCTTTTGTACTGAAGCACAAATGAACAACCAATAATCGTCAATAAATGTTTTATTACGGTGTTCCGTTTGGGCCTGTGTTTTGGGCTAGATATTAAATAAATGGTGTTCTGTTTAGGCCATCAAAATGCTAGATATTAAGTAAATCTAGTGTCGCTCTTTTTATTTTGATAGATAATCATTCTCGCAGTTTAATTTTTCGCATGCTTAACTTTAATCTTTGCGAGAATCAAAACATGATCTCGCGAGTCTGTTTTAAACCGTCGCGAGAATTAACGTTAAATTTTCGCATGCCTATTTCAGAAAAAAGCTGCTTTTTTCCAGTAACGGTGGGCACAGCCAAAGTTCGGATAGTGTATCACACCAACTTTTCATGCTTCTTTTTTATTTGGCCCGTTAGGTGAGAACGAACCTCCGAAAAGAACTTACGTCATTAGGAGGTAAACATGTGATTGGCTGACGTCGTCAACGTCACAGGCGGGATTTGAACACACAGCAGCTAGTGAGAGGCACTTGTTTCACAAGTAAGCCGTACAATGTTAATCACTCGATCTTCGGGTCATAGTCTTATACTTTGCAATTTAATCTTTCCGACCGTTCCTTTAATGCCATGGAAATAATTATATGGAAAGACGTCAAGGCGTTCCGAATACAGAATTGAAAGTACAGGAGGTTGCTGTAAACAATCCATGGGGGGAAAAGGTGAGAGTTAAAAAACAAGATTTTATTTTACTTTAAGAAATAGTACAGCTATGCACACATAATAACAAATGACAAATTGCGATCGATATATTACTTATCCTATGGTATTCAGAAAATTGGAACACCAGGACGATATTAATAAGGTTGACGGAAAGAGACGAAAACTTGCGATTGATATCCAGGAAGCTTTTCGACAATTATATGCATCCGAAAACTGACGGAAAGGACCGAAAATTGCGATTGTTCCAGGAAGACATCGGATCGAAGAATTTTAAATAAGGGTTTGCAACTTTTCGAACCTTACCGTACGTCATGCTTTGGCGAGGGGGTCCGAATATCTAAAAAAAAAAAAAAAAAAAAAAAGGTGAGTAATAATAAACAAAGCTAATATTTTTACAACTATTTTGGTATAAATGATAAGTCAAAATGTTTTAATATTTTTATTTATGACGAACACTGGTACATGACTTTACAAAACGTAAACCGTTTACAAAAATACACAATAATGTAAACGAATAAATAAATTAAATGCCGTATTAAAAAGGGCAAGGCCACTCGATATAAGCCAATGCTCTACAAAAAGCTTTAAACAAAAGATATATGTCCGAAAAGCTATGAATACAAGATACATGTATTGTTGATGATGAACACTAAAGACTCGTGATGAACACTGCGTTATATGACTACATCAATGATAATCAATTTCATAGATGTACTGTATAACACTAAATATGGACAATAAACAGGTAATCAACAACAACATCATCATTAACAACATAATCCTCGTTCCCCTCAATGTCAAAAAAATACTGTTACCCTCATCTTTAATCCATAGGATTAACTAACATTTCTGAATAAATCATAACAAAAGCTTTCTTACTTTCGTAAATGATAGCTACTATTGCACATAAATGTGAAAAATAATGGACGGAATAATACTGCGAGGCTGTCTTTGAATGTAGTCTATGCGTCGGAACTTGAAGAAAAAATGGAACTTTCACTATTGATAGTGCCATTGCTAATTTTTCTTCTCAAATTACTGTTTAGATTCCTGTTCATCACATTTCCCCTGTTACTGCGCACGTTACTGCGCATGTTATTGCTATAACCTAAAGCGTTTGTAAATTTATTAGTCACGTTCGTCTCATTTGTTCCTATCGTAAATATATGTCTGTTTTGGTCAGCGTTGTCATTTTCCTTAGTCGCGCTTCCTGGTCGTGAATTTGAAGGTGAGCCTCTCTGCCCACCGGCTGCCTCCATGAGATCTTTTAAAACACGCTGGCCGTTTGTGATCGTTTCCTCGGTATTTTCTCTTTTGACTCTCTGTATTCCGCCTCTTTCTGTAGTACCTAGGTCAATGCCATTGAGCACATCCAGTAACTGATTACTTCTGTCAGTATTAGCGTTATTTTCTTTGTCATTAGAATTATTTGCAGCTTCTTTACTGCCAAATATGCTAAATATTCCCATCTTCTTATCTGTCCTTAACTGGTTTAAAATTAACTTTGGGTCTGCAGTTTGTTTTATAGAGGGACCACCTTTTTTGTTGGTTTCTGAATTATTATTTCCTGAGTCTTTATTTCTATGTACACGCGCTTTTTCAGAGGTGTCTTCAAGATGTGTAAAATTGGGACCGGCTTTGTCCCGATCTTGTTTGGCAGCGGTTGTATTTGTAGCCTCGCGGTCTCTAGCCTGTTGACGCAAATCATGAACAATTCTAAGGTCTTCATGCTGGTCAGGTCGCTTAAATGTAAAATTACCATCGCCTTTGCCATTGCCTTTAGGAGGTAACTCATATCGTAATTTTGACCAAAACATTTTATCATCAGGCGAGAGAACTACTTTCCCGGCAAGCCTTGATTTCCACGGTTCTTGTTGAAGTTTTTCTTGCCATGCTTTGGCTTTTAAATCAAACTCTTTGGAATTGTTTTTCCTCAAATTGCGTCTGTCACCTATCCTTTCTATCCATCTATTTTCATCTAATTTTGACTTCAGTAAATCACTACTGTTAAAAATGATATAAATAATTCTAGGGGCCTTATCAAGATTTTCGTCCCCTTCCATGTTAATAGAACTAGGTTCATTTTCATCTGCAACGCTGCTTTCATCACCTTCTAAATTTGTGTCGTTTTCAATATCTATACGACACGAATCGTTATCATTATTTTCGCCTTTTTGTTTATGTTCACTGTTCTTTTCATTCTTTCGAGCGGTCGCTTCTATAATTCGTCTTTCAGCGTCTTCTATCTCAAAGCAACGCCACTCGTTTTCAAATATCTTATCAGATAAAATGATTATCATTCTTTTTGATCTACCGATCCATTTTGGGATACCTACAGCTTCACTTCCTGGTTCCATAAATCTTGCTGGATTTAGGACAGAATAAACTGGCTTTTTGCGGTTAAGTTTCTTAAGAAAATATCTGACCCATCCAATAACGTCCTCGCACATATTGTCAAAGACAATATAGATGTCAACTTCTTTCTGATCGTCATTATCGGTTTCATACTTTTTTCCTGGCCGAATACGAAAAATCTTATGAAGAAGAACCCTTGTTTCATACGGGCAGCGTTTTGCGAAGACCAATCCTATCACAAGCAACGCCAACATTACCCCTAAGCAGACACAGATAATGATAATCAACTCATTTGTGCAGCCGAGAATTTTAAGACTGATGTCCGCTATTGTATGTGTCCCAGTTTTTGAATCACACGTAAGAGACATGTCACCTTCTTCACCATCTAATTGAATCCATTCAGCCAACCACATTGAGTCACAATCACATTCTAATGTATTTCCGGATAAAAGCACGGAGCTGTAGCTGAATTTCTTAATCTCTCGTGGTAGTGTGGAGATCCTATTGTTTCTAAAATCCAAACGTGAGGCTTTCATTACAGAAAGGACGTTTTCATCTAACCTATTTAGTTTGTTTCCTGCCATTGATATATTGTAAATGTTCGTAAGGTACGATGTGTTCTTTAACGTATCAATATTGTTGTTATCGAGAATTATTTCAAGTTTGGAACGACCGTGATTTGGAATGACATCCGGCATTTCAGTAAGCCCGGCGCCATTGCAATCAATAAAAAAGGTGTCGTTATGTGGCCGATCTTGACAAAAGCATCCCGTCGGACAACCGGAAGTGACGTTACAAACAAACTGATCGTAGTCCAGGTCGTGAAGAAAGTCTATTCCTGCAACAGCTGAAGGAGAGCCACACCTGTACCTGTATTGTTCCACTTTAGTGTAGCGGAAAATTCCACGGCGGACGATCTCAGTCATTTCGTAGAGTTGGCAATCACAAAAGAAGGGGTTATGTGTCACGTTGGCCTGGAACGTGAGAAACACGGTGAAAATAGCCTGCGAACTCATATCCGGTTCGTATTGTCGTAGTGTGTCCACCGTAATTGTTTCAAGTTTATTCCATTGGAGGTTTACCAATACTTCAAATGGATATTGAAGATCATATGTCCAGTTCATATAATTTGTAAGTCGCGAAATCTGGTTATGTTGTAAGAAGAACTCACGGTCCAGTCTTCTCTGATGTGACTGGTAGGTTGTGTAAGGCCACGGATCCAAATAGGTCAACGAGTTATTATTAAGATTGAAATATCTCAAGCCAATATTTTCCTGACCGACAATATGAGGGTCAACATAGCTGATGTTATTGTTGTTGAACCAAACGCTCCTCAAGTTGAAGAGGCTAATAAGACCACCGCCAAGTTGTGTGAGTGAGTTAAAAGAAACGTCAAGAGTTTCCAGTTTTTTAAGAGGGTAAAAAGTGCTATTGTCGAGCGAAGGTATGGCGTTGTTTGACAGATTCAGAGATAGCAGTTCATAGAAAATTGCAAAACTGTCCACATTTACACTCGTAATGGAGTTGTAAGAAAGGTCCAATGAAGTGATGTTTTCCACCATCCCTTTACAGTCATACGTCTAAAATAAAGATAAAAAATATCTAATAAGAGGATTTGAAATTCATTTGTTTGTTACAAAGTAAACTAAAATCGTTGATAAGTACATACTGCAAAGATAAAACTTAGTTCGATGGCTAGTTTTTAAAGGTTTTACGCCAAATGTATTCCAGGTTTGTATAATAAACAAACGTACATGGATATTTTACCCCAATACCGGTATGCACATGTTATTTGAAAAGAAGTGTTTTATTTAAAAACAATTTAATACATTTTTCTTCTTTAGAAAAGATAAAAAAAATGTTCAATGTTGTTTATGTATCGGTATGTTTTAAAGTTATGTTGAATGTAGAATAATTTGTCATGGAAGTAGCATAATGTAAACAAAGTGGTATTTTGACTATCATTATATATATTATAACTGTACTACATCCGATTTCAAATGCAAAAGATAGTTCAGGTATATGGGCAGTGCGGAACTGTCTGGAGGCTGGAACAGGACGCCAAAGAGAAACTGAAAAATTATCACTTTTGGGGCTTACTGGGCCTTTTAACGCATTTTTTTCAAAGGTTAATATTGACAAAAGATGAATAAAATTGATAAAAAATATTCCAAACACATTAAGTCATCTCACTGACCTTAAAACAAAACTACATTTACTTTCGCCATATGAACACAGTTGAGACTTAAACCGTGAACAGCCGCGTACCGCTCATCTGCTCATGCTTTTTTAAACATCAACTATTAAATATAACACAACAAAATATTAATCTTACTGTTTCAAAGGTGCTTGCATCAATGTTTGTAAGTCCAGCACCCGACAAGTTCACAAAGCCATTTATATTTGGACAAGCCAACTGAGCCATGGCCGGAGGTCCGAGAAGACACACAAAGAATACAAGTTGAAAGATTGCATCCATGTTTGATTATAGACCTGCAGAGAGAAAAAAACACGAAGTTTAGCAGTACATAATTATATTTCTAACATGCATGGTTTACTGATAAATACGCGCTTGTTTGGCTGATACGGAACAAGTCGGTCGACTTCAATATGTCTACGGAGAAAGCCGAGTTGTTATGATTGTGGTTGCCTTTAATTTTCGTAATTTTGGACTTGTTTTTCGAGATGTTCTGTGTATTTATATTTTGTTATGTCTTAGAATTCAAAATTTTATGAAATTGAATATACACATTGAGTCCAGTTATGGCTCATTCCTGCGGTATATCATACATAACTACGTAGATAGATAGATGGATGGATGGATGGATGGATGGATGGATGGATGGATGGATCGATGGATGGATGGATGGATGGATGGATGGATGGATCGATGGATGGATGGATGGATCGATGGATGGATGCATGGATGCATGCATGGATACATGCATGGATGGATGGATGAATGCATTGTTGCATGCATGGATGCATGCATACATGCATACAAACATACATACATACATACATACATACAATTATAAATTTCTTTAGTGTAAATACTTTTTACTGAAAAGATATCTAAGAGTTAGCGAAGAGAAGAAGGTTGAAATCAAGTTAATATATCCTGGAACGTATATAACAATGATACATGCACATGCAAGCATCTTAAACTTCTGAGTTCCCATTCATTTCTGCATTTCTTTTTATATTAAAATATTACATTGAATTTATAAATGTAAAAAACCTGATTTAACTTTAAAGAGAAATAATAATTGAAATACCTTGCTTCAATAGTTACTCTCCATGTATTTTTTCTCACAGTGTTGATAACTTTATTATATATTGTCCGTTACCATATTGCAAGTTATCAATTGTACTATAAAAGTTTAAATTTAAGAGCTTTTGAATGAGATGGAAAAAATGCCATTCCGCACCTGGCCAATCGTCTGTGACAAGGAAGTTCGGTTTGATTGGATGAAAATAAAAGCCGCTTTGATAAAGAAATAGATCGATAGTTCAATATCTATTTTTACACACTTTGGAAAAGTTTGGGATAAAATTTTGATTTACAATGCGTCTATATATAGTCATTACTTATCATAATTCGATTTTGTTGACGAGGCCAAAATAAAAAAAATTTCGGCTTCAGTCTCGTGGGAATGGGCTGGCAATATGTTGTATGTTTCTAATTTATCGTCATTTCATTCGTTTAATCTATATCTTATTTCATAACTACAACAATCATTTGAAGTATCGGGACATTATAATAATAAAAAAAATAATAATAATAATAATAATATAATAATAATAATAATAATAATAATAATAATAATACTAGTAATAATAATACAATAATAATAATAATAATAATGCTGATGATGTTGATGATGATGATGATGATGATGAAACAACAGCAGCAACAACAACAACAACAACAACAAAATAATAATAATAATGAAAAAATAAAAAGAACACGTGCAAACCGAGCGGCCTGGTATGAAACTCAAATTTGTTGGCCCTACTTCATAGTACCACATGTAGTATCATACATGCGTATACAGTATGAGTTAATTACCTCTTTTGTGTTATTCAGGACTCAATCGGTTCAATTAATACAATGGCCATTACCCGTCGTATACTTACTTCTTAAAATTGATTTAAAAAACGAAACAAACAAAAAATTAAAAATACAAGTAATATAATAATACAGAACGTAAAGTATTGTAGTGGAATAAATGACCGATATATTTTTATCACAAACAGCCTTGTAATGGATTTGTCTAATATTTACTTTGGTTTAAACATATTTGTTCCCAAAATTATATATTATGTACATTCAAATAAACAACAAACAAAATAGTATTACATAATTGAAAACGAATGAGAACGAAATACGTGTCTTATATATAGAATTATTATCCTTTGCCAAACTACATATATATGATTTATCTTAAATAAATTGATATTAAGAATATATTAGACAAGGAAATAAATATCATATAAAAAACTTTTATAAAGAAGATTTACATTTTTTTCCCGCAGATATCTGATAAAAAATATACATATAAAAGAAGAAAACGAATTAGTGGGAAAACGTAGAGAACATAGAGAAGAAAGAGGAAAAGAGAAGATTGTGGTTTCTAGTTTTAGTCTAAATCAAATTGTGACTTGAATAAATAATTGATTATCTTTTATTTAATAAATTAATTAATCAATAAATAAATACACTTACATCAGATGTTTTAAATTTCGGCATTTCATTGAATTACATTTCAAGATGATCTTGAAATGTAATTCAATGAAATGCCGAAATTTAAAACAAAGTATTCAAGGGAACAAACCACAAAATATGCTCCATTTAGTTAAACACAGTTTTCTCCCTTGTTAAAATATGCACCAGTGTATGAGAACATTAATATGGTTCAAAGTCCGGTGGTGGTGATGGTGGTGTTGATAGTTTTTTACTCCGGATCACGGCAGTAAGCCGCATCAAAGTTCAAAGTCCGTTAACAGGTCACACTTATTATACACTGAGAAAGATCTAACTCTCCAGTCCATTGTAACCCGTCCGGTGAATAGCGGGGACTTTTTGGACTTTCGACTGTAAATTTTTCGTCCATCGGAAACAGTAAGGTGGTAAAATACTCGCTTAATACCCCGCACAGATAAACGAACACAAAATCAATCCCGCTGCCAAACATGGCAGTTTGTAAAAAATCCTTTTATTTTCCTTGATATTCCTTAGACTGTTCCGAGGATAGGCGCCGTTGTTACAATTTGAAATGAGCTGCGTCACGGCAAAACCAACATAATGGGTTTTATGTTGGTTTTGTCGTGACGCGGCTCAAATTACGTTAGAGTTTTGTTTACGAAAAAAATAACATTAACTGTCGACGATTTATGTGAAGTAGTATAGTCGCTGGGAAGTAAGGAGGAGAGTATTTGGAACTAATTCAGATATCAAAAAAGCTTCTTTTTTTTTTAATTTTTTTATTGTTTTTATTATTGTTTTCTATTATTATTAATTTTTTTTGGGTGGACCGGTTTTAATCATTTTCCATACATCGATTAACTTTTTACACAAGAACCATGGTAGTGGTAAAGTCGCATTCTTTAAAGAACCTGTATGTTGTGATCAAAATGGTTTACCATACTATTTAAAGTGAAATTATATATATGTACATAATTTTGCAAATAAAACAATTTTCAAACGTCGAATAATATGTTAAATATGTACTGCAAATATTTGTGCATATTATATGTAATCAGGAAAATATATGCATTCATTTCTTATTGTAAATTTTGACTTAAACTTTATAGAAAATACATTTTTATTACCTCCCTTTATTTACATGAAATGTTAAATTCTGTAATATCTTTGTAAATAATGCTTTTCGGAACCTACAATATCGATAAATCTTAATTTGAGCACCATAATTATTATTTAAAACCATAAAAAAATTGTGTTACAGGATCTTTGAAAAGATGACAAGCTGATACCGAATCTGTTGATAGTTGTCACGGAGGTAGGCTGATTTACGCCCGTGCATAGGAAAATACAAACATAAGACTAATCTTTTTGTCCGCATTAATTGTGGCAAAGACGCGAAAAACGCGTCGTGGCGTAAATGAGCCATTTTTTCGGAGGTCCTCTGAGAAGATATTCGTCTAAAATGTTATATTTTGTTAGCATTTAATGTCATATAACAACCAATGAAATCAGTTCAAATCTGAAAATGTTAACAATCTTAACCGCATTTTTTTTCTTATTACTTAGAAGTTCACCTAGGGTTTAATATAATTATCATGATGTATTTTGCCATCACTGCGCATGCGCGAATTATTGATGCAAACGCATGCGCGCCAACTGGGTCATAAAAGGGAATTGAAATGATTAAAATAAAACAATGGTAATTAGAAACTAAACTTGTATTTACCCTTTGATTATAAATATAATTAATATTATGCAAAAAGAATGAAAAATACAACTAAATAAGACAAAAACTTATAATTTATACAGAAAAAAGACATACTTTAAGCAGAGACATATACTAATGGCATATAGTATCAACAGAAATCTAAACAAATATTGTAAACATGTCTTCGAAATTGGAAAACAATTCACAAAACAGACAGACACACACACACGTACAAAAACTGTTGCAAAATTAATTACTACCCTTAATTAACGGGCCTACTTTAACCAATATGATTGTTCAAACGCGAATATGCCAAATCTAAATTAGAATACACATTATCTATTTACAACAGTTCCTTGTTTTTTTTATTTACAACAATATACATGTATTCACATTTAAGCTGCCTTAATGACAAAACTATATACATGTAGATTGTGGCACATTGAAATATATTTGATATTGTGTCCAAAAGAAGTATGTTTAAATTCGGAGCAGAATCGAACTATAGAGATATATATGTACTTTCGATTTCTATACATTACCTTTACTGTATAATTGAAATATAAAAAAGAAGAGAGAAATAACTCTCCGGTCTTTTCGGTCAAGAATTCTGAATGGAATACTCAAGGGCATCAATATAACCCGATCTTATAACATTTTTGACAAAACAATTAAAAAAATCCCAAAAGACACAGCAGTATAAGGCATTTCAACATATGTAAGACAATATTCTTAAAACCAATATTATGAGTATTATGTATACTTGTAACGCAAAAAGGCATAGAGGTAGAATTTCACTATAAAACAGATATTTTCAAGGTTTACACCTGCATAAGATTACTTTATCGTGACTTATGTACTTAAAAAATAAGAAAATTCGTGAAACTTAAAATAATTTTTTTTTTGAGACATGTGAAAAATTTAAGGAATCATGAAAAATCATGAGACTAAACAAAGAAGAAAAATTTAGGAATAAAATACATGATGGACAAAAACACCTTCATCGGTATTTCAAATACCAGTAATTGAATAAGGGATATGCACTGCTTTGAATTCTAAAGAACAAAGTCAAGCTTTTAAAAAATAAGTATAATATGTATCAGATTTTACAAATCTGACAGCAGGCTGGCCTGGCTCTAAACTGTTTGCAATACATCTAAAACTTAATATATGCGTACAGATGAGTATAGAAGATTTTTTTCTTTACATATTCTATCATTCTTAACATTTTCAATGAGTCTTTGTTTATTTTTGTTACTTTTTACTCTTTGAAAATAAAGGCAAATAGCAATAAATACAAGAAGATCCATGTCAATAAATTTCTTAATATCTAACGTGATTAAAAGTTCTTCTGATTATGTAAATAGCTATTTTTGAATTTGTGTATTTATTAGCTCGAGACATTTACTATTCATTATGACTTTAAGCTTAACTGAAAACAAAATTTGATATGTATATATATATAATGAAAGTTCTTGTAGAACTAAATCCTTTTCAGACACTGCGCAAGTCCAATTCATAGCTTATTTTATTGTTGGTCGAAATTGTTTCCCTGAGCGGCACCTTTGGCAGCACAACAACAGCAGACGAGAACCCCGCAGCAGACGAGACAGAGAACGACGCCCAAGATGATGTATGTTGACGTCACTATCCAAAAGGCAAACCAATATAGAGTTGGGTCGCAGTAATTGTCCGCGGAAGAATCCTTTGACCATTCATTGTGTGTTCTATATACCCACACATTCCCTGCAATGAAATAAAATTATTCTTTTTTGTGCCACAATTGATTTCTTTATTCAATTATTTATTAAATTATTCTATCATTCATAAGGACCTTTCAAATATAATGGCCTGGAAAAGGGCAGGATGACGAAATTATGATGTCTAAATTTGTCTCATGACTTCGCAAACTCCTCACAGTGATAACCTCCCTTACCTCTCTCTGTACTGATAAGGGGAGATCACTGCGTAGGTTTCGAGATTGATGACTTCGCTCAAGCGTTCGGATAATCGACAGCCATGCATGATGGCTTGTAAAACGCCGTTTTGAAATCAATTTGGAAGACCCCGCATCCATTTATTTACATAAATTCAAAAGGCGTTAACATATTTTAAACAATAAAAAGGGTATGAAGTTCATGCCATGCCATGTGTTTGTTAAAGTCCTTACGTAATTTACCGGATTCCCTTTCAATTCTTGTTAGGCCTTCTCTAGTATTTTTTTCGGCGAGAATAAAGTTAAGATAATACTAATTATCAGTTGCAGAAAAGCAATTAGTATCAGGGTTGTTCTATGAAGATTTATCAAAAAACATCCGTAAATATTTTATAGGTCAACAATCAATGTTTACATCGTTATTACTTACTGTACTGATAAGATGACCTATTGCTTCCGGTCATTTATACAAGTAAACATGGTAATTTGATTTTAATTGACAAGAAAAGTGACAAAACATGCCGTTTTTAATTGATCGATTATCATTTTTATAGACAGACTAATCGGTCAAAACTCAAGAACATGTTCTCGATTACCTACCGGCAATAAACCAAGCAAGCAGGAAGCAGCCGACAATGCCATCAACAGGATTCGGCTTAGTATTCTTTTCATCGCTGTCTTCTTCATCTCTGTTTTTACATCTTTGTCCGATGGAGAGGAGGTTTTTCAAAATCCCGAAAGAACCGCCAACAATGAGATAGATCGGAATCATGCGCTCAGCCGGACAATCGTTTAGATGGATTGCGCCTGTGTTAAAAAGAAATGAAAAGAAACATAACAAGTATAGTCTTTGCTTTTTCTTCTTCAGCAGTGAACACATAAAGTGAGAGAGATAGGTGAAAACTACAGACTGTTTGATTGAGTCTGTTTATGACCACGCTATTATTAAACGTGTTTTGTAATGTTAATGATTGTGCAACGTGAACAGAAAACAAAACGGAAATTGCCAAAGTACCGAAACAATGTAGAGACAATGTAGAGAGGAACTAACATGTTAAATTAGCTATGTTTCTTATGTTAATATATCATTTCACAGAATACAGCTTTAAATTTATGCATTTTTGATTATGGTAAGCACATGGACATGGAAAGAGTCTGTGTACGTTCTTGTGCTGAATGAATTTTACAAAAGCGTGATCGGTTTCAATTTTCACAAAAGTTTCAATTTTTACAAAAGAAATGCCGAATACCCTAGAACTGTCTTCATTAATATAATGTGATCCTTCAGCATTATTGGTTGAAAGGCTTAATTTAGTGATGAATATTGAGTACTGCTTCAGTCAGTACCTAGTGGCTTGAAATATGATAAGCTTTTCATGACCAAAATAAAGAATATCTGCAATTTTCTTTTTATCATTTTTTGATGATGTTTATGTCAGAATTTTATATCAGTACTTACCCATAACAATCATAGCTATTGGAATGGCTAGAAACACGCCCATTGCGATGGTGCAACCAACTGAAAAAATAAAGGTTTTATTGTAGAAAATAAAGTAATGTCATTTATTAAAGAAAATATTTTATTTAAAAATAACTTTTAGATACAGCATTTTAATTCTGAATTTACCGATAAACATCAACACTTTGTCTTTTGGGCTAAATCACACATGCACAATAATACGAAAACACGCATACACGCAAGATGGCGGCACACGCGCGGGTAAGCAATCCACGCACGCACGGACCAACGCTCATTCACTCTTACATTTACACATGAATTATATCTTAAACAAAAAATGCAGACATCATACTTACTAGAACCACATAAAATGAAGCAGAACTTCTTCCCAAAGTCAATATTTCCATCGGACTGATCTTTTGCCGTCTGTATTTTTTTAAACACGGATTCTTCATAAGATGGCGGTGGCCCTGAAAACGAAACATAAATGAGCCTCGTCATGACAAAACCAACATAGTGCGTTTGCGACCAGCATGGATCCAGACCAGCATGCGCATCTGCGCAGTCTGATCAGTGTCCATGCTGTTCGCTATCAGTTTCTCTACTTGTAATAGGGTTGGTAAGCGAACAGCATGGATCCTGATCAGACTGGTCTCTGGTCGCAAACGAACTATGTTGGTTTTGTCGTGACGCGGTTCAAATTATTTTGAGCTTTAAAACATAACACAACTTCTTAAACACAGAGCTACTTAAAAGATAAACGATAAAGTATCAGTTGTAATATCGGATCATGTATCTCACACTTAACAACTTCCATGTAAAATTCTTTCGTGCCTGATATATACTAAACAAATCAACGTCATTACTTCATTGTATTACAGACTTTCCATTATAGACCAATTCACTTTAATTCTTAATGGTATAGTTAACAGGAAACAAGCTTTCTGCAACAACTTGAAAAGGGGGATAAGCCATTGCGAGAATGTTGACATATTGTATTTCTTAGTTTATATAAAGAAAGAAAGAGTTCTCTCACCTGACTTCTGCGCTTCCTGAAAAAATAATAAAAGAAAATGTTAAACAGATAAATGCTTTAAATATAGTATTAAAAATTATCTTGATTTTTGAAATTATCTCCTGGAGCATTGGATTTCACCAGCCCAGACCAGACCAGTCCAGTCAAGACCAAGGCAGAAGAAACGGAAGCGCCGCGTGAACGTATATGAGACTATATGTATACAAAATCCTGCTAATCTAAGAGCGCCGAATAAATGTTACAGATCAAGGTATTCTTGCCACTTTGAAAATGATTTCAACCTTCCGGTCATTTGCGTCAAAGGACTTTTGGCTACATATAAAATATTTTAAATGATATTTTATTGTATTCAAAGTATTCAATTGTAAAATGAAGCTATTCCCGTCAATCGGAACGTCCTCTGCTGTTATCTATAATACTCTGTATGTCCTTATCCGAAGACTGACGGAAAGGGCCGTAAAGTTGCGATTGCAATTCCTGTAACTTACTCGCGAATGTCATCAATCGCAACTTTTCGGCCCTTTCCGTCATTCTTCGGATATTGTAAAAGATAATAGCCGAAGAATGTCATTTATACAATCGCAACTTCTCGTCCATATCCGTCAATCTTCGGATTTATGGATTCCGATCAGCTGCTTTGGTGTTCCGATCAGGAAAACCTCGCCATGTTACTAAATATAAGCTGAAAGAGTTGCTATCATATATACAAAGGGAGGTAAGTGATTGACAATCAAAAGAAGAAAAAAGTCTTTGTAATGGTTCTGTCGTTAATTTAGGTATTTTAAACTTATTTACATCGATAAATAGGCCCTTCCTTTGTATACGCTTGTCGCGAAAAAAGCTAGGATTTAAAATCATTAATTTTTTTCAGTGGGACGTAACACGAGCAGACACGACACTATCGCTGACTATATCAATTAGTGTTTGCAAAGCATTGAAATACTACGCGCAAAACCCTGTTCAAAAAGAAAACTGAAAGATGATCTTTTTGTAAAAAGTCGCACCCTTCATTTTCATTATTGTATTTTGAATTATTAAGATATTCCGGCCATAGATACAATGAATGAATTCGGTCAATTTCGTCAACTTACTTATTTTTTTTTTATGCAATAAGCGTTAAGTCACGTCTTAAATGTTTTGCAACCGCATATTTTGCCAATTTCAATTATAACATTTTAATATTTAAAATGAAAGTTATTAATACACTATTGGACACTCTAGCTTTGATGACAAAACATTGGTTCGGAAGGCTCCTGATCATGTAATATAAAATATTGTCCGATCGTTGATATCTAAAATAAATATTTAAATTATTATAAATGGAGTACTAGTATTCAAACTTGAAGGTCAGCAATATAGAGTAACGCCAGAGGGGACATGTAAGCTGTACATTCATATAGTTTAAGTCAATTTTAATGATAATCTAGCCCCACCCACAGCTAACACATGCTAGAACGGAGAAAAAAAAATAGCACCACATAAAATACTTCATACATGTATATATAAAGATATGCGCGATTCTAGAGGGTGGCGTGTATGCGGAACCCCTCTGAGATTTGGATTTAAGCCTACTTTTTTAGCAAAAATCACGCAAAAACTTGCACAATCAACATTTTATTTTTGGGGGGCATGACCACCTCTGGAAAATTAGAAGAACGTCAACCCCCCTTTTGAATATGCATTACCGCTTCGAAATTTTGCGACCCCCCTCAGGTAAAAAAAATCATGGAATCCACGCCTGAAAACAGATGTTTCTTATAAATTTCAAGTCTATGGAAAAAATAGAACTATTTTCGCATTCAAACACCCTAGTTTATACACACACTTTATTTAAAAATCTATACAAGGTCATTTTACTGAGACTATATAATAAGGTTTTCTAATACTGCAATATTTAAAAGTCAGCTATTGTTTTAGCCAGTATCGTTCTATCCCCTGTAATATATTTATTATATGAGCCGCGTCACGACAAAACCAACATAATGGGTTTGCGACCAGCATGGATCCAGATCAGCCTGCGCATCCGTGCAGTCTGATCAGGATTCATGCTGTTCGCTATCAGTTTCACTATTTGTTATAGGGTTTGTAAGCGAACAGCATGGATCCTGATCAGACTGCGCGGATGCGCAGGCTGGTCTGGATACATGCCGGTCGCAAACCCATTATGTTGGTTTTGTCATGACGCGGCTCATATATATATAATTCTATCATTTAAATGCTTCACTTTACTGAACTGCTGATGTTTGATACTAGTATATATAAAAGTGCAAAAAAATTATTACCATATCCTTAAATTCCATGATTAATGCAAAGTGCAAATATCCTCAGAAAAACACACACCAAAAAGCAAAGATGGTTCGGATGCAACAGAATTTTAACTAATTGACTTAATAAAGTGTATTCTTTTCGTAAATCCCAGTTAAGCTACTGTGTGAAAAGTAATAAAGACTTAATGTTCTGTCAGCGCTTATATTTGACCACTCCCACGCGTCACGCTCTAGTTATTCTATCGAATATTTTCTTCCTTTTTAAAAGTTCATTGTGTATCTGTTAGCAAAATATTTATAGTATGTCCATTTTTGTTAATTCAACGTATGAATTAAAGTTATAGCGTATAATTTGGATTTGTGCAACGAAGTGTAATGGCCACCAAATTCTGTGCGGAATGCTGTCTGTGTTTTAATCCATTTAAACATTTGACAGTATATATAACAAGTTTGTACTGTCAGACGGAAAAAATGCACACCGTAACTTTTGACTATCCGTATTTTTATGCGACAATAACGGTTATTTTTTATGAATAATATTTTTGAAGTTGTAGTAGTAGTAGTAGCAGCAGCAGCAGCAGCAACAACTTCAACCATAAAACCCCACAAAGCAGCAGCAGCAACAACAACAACTTCAACAATTAAACCATTATGATTGATTTTTTTTCTCGCAAGCAACAGATGATGGGAAATCAATATATATCTTTGCACATTTCCCCTGTCCGTAAATAGGTATAATCAATGTACACGTAAATGATTTATATCCATAGCTAATTATTAAACAAGTTTCAACTTTCAATACTAGAAAATCGACAAAAGTTTGCTTAAGGCCACTAACAATATCACCTAGGCATTTGTTAAGTATGTTGCTTTTCATGACCTTTGTCTGCTGCTTCCTATTGTCTGATCTCCCCGGCTGTTATGCTTGAAGTATACGGAGAAAACCCGATGTATTACGGGAAAAGCCGATGTTTTACGATTGTGCTTTTTATAACACCTTGGCCTTATTAAATATGCATATTAAATGTAATATTTAATGTGATATTTAACTTTCTGATGTCATCTTAATTTAATAAACTATAACATTAAACAACAACGACAACAGCAAACATCATTATCATCATCATCATAATAATCATCATCACCATTATCATCATCATCATCATAATAATAATCATCATCATTATCATCATCATTATTATCATATTAATCATCATCATCATCATCATTATTATCATTATCATCATCATCATCATCATTATCTTTATTATCATCATCATAAGCATCATCATCATCATCAGCAGCAGCAGTAGTAAATCATCATCATCATCAGCAGCAGCAGCAGCAACAGCAGCAGCAGCAGCAGCAGCAGCAGCAGCAGCAGCAGCAGTAAATACCCGCTGTAATTATTATTCTTTCCGATGATTACGGCGGCTTTAGCTTGAAGTTGTTGATGTAATAAAAGATCATGATATTTTAATTATATAATATGAAGAAGACGTGCGATCATTCATTTGATCCTCTAAGAAGTGGGTATAGAAGGCAGCTATGGCGTTCCAGAATAAGCTATGGCGTTCCATATATTCACCTATAGAATTCATTTGTAGATGATATCAAATTACTATGATGATTATTTAAAGTACCTGTCCCGGTTATAGGTATGAATGAAATAAATGAAAAAAAAACTCCTAACTTATAACACCTTGTATATGCTAACTTGCATGTTAGTTATTCAAAACTTTATATTTTGTGCTGTATAAGACAGTTTTAATATCGCGTCTTTTAGAAAATTTGGGGCGTCCGTGGCCGAGTGGATAAGGTCGTTGACTTTAAACTACTTGCCCCTCACCGCTGTGGGTTCGTATCCGACAGGGACTTCTTTAATGTGAGGAAGCTATCCAGCTAGTTCACGGAACGTCGGAGGTTCTATTCAGGTGCCCTGAGGCCTTTTTGCCCTTTCTACAGCGTTAATCCTGGAAACTCGCCATAAAACCTATACCGTGTTGGTGCGAAGAAAAAATTAAAATCTGCAAGACGCTTGCTTTAACGGTGATTCCTACTTAATAATCTTATACGTATTTGAAATATGTCAAGGAGGGAGGTAAAAATCAATAGGCACATTTCTGTCATTAATGGAAATGTATTATCATACTAGTAGGTGACATTTTACTGTAAACTTGCTATATTCTGATCCCACATATTCGATGTTTATTCTGTCACCGCATTTCTTGTTTTTTAATGTTTGATTGTTAAATACCGGTCAACATTTACTTAATCCGCATTTTTGTTAAATAAATAAATAAATAAATAAATAAATAAATAAATAAATTAAATAAATAAATAAATAAATAAAATGATTCATTTTTCTCGAGATGGTTATTCTTTTAGTCAAAAAAATTCGTCAAGTATAATGATTAAATTTAAGATACGGGTTTTTGAAGAATAACAATTTTAATTTAGGACCGATAGCTGCTATCCAATTGCATATTATATTCTTGCCCATATAGGTTCGTCTTTGCGGCGAGTATGAATAACGCAGGAATCATCACCAACATTATTGAGACGTTGCGGGTTCGATTCGTCGCTCATCCACTTTCTATAAAAATGGTCTTCTTAAAAACCGACAAGGTCCTATGCATCGGTGTTGTACACCGGGCACGTAAATAAATCAGACTCGCCTTTGGAACGGGGAAATCACTGTATTTACGCATTGTCTCCGGAATATAAAACAGCTACATGCAACTGTTTTAGATACATTGCAGATATGGAAAGTCAACATGAATAAAAAAAAAACAACAACATTATTCATTTAAGATGAAAGTTAAAAAATTGGCTGGTAAAAATGGTACAGTACTGCTTAAAGAGACATTATTTGAAGGGATAGAAAAACAGTAAACAAAATAGAAAAACAAATGTAATGTTACGGAAATCATCTCTATGACAATAGTTACCTGAGATAGTAATGAAACAAAACTGTGTCATTGACCTTTTGAATAAAAATAATTCCGCAAGAGAATTGTGCCATGGACAAGATATTTTTTCCGATACTTTCTACGATATTTGCAAAGTAAACAAAATCATGTTAAGAGACGTTCACTCATCAATTCCATTATTTTTTAAAAGTATCTACATATGAAAAGCCGTTCACGAGCGGGAACTGCGTAATTGATGAAAAGAGAATATTTTTGTTATCAAGATGAAGATGTATGATTTGATTCTTTTGTACATATTGATAAACTTGTAGATGAGTTAAAAGTGATTTGTTCGTTTTCTGAATGTACCAGGCATTTTGTAACCCTTGCCAAACTGACTTCCCTTCTCGGGAGAAAAATAGGGACTTGGCTGCGAGTAACATCAGACGATAAAATCCCTTTATACGGTTTAAAGGCACATTATACCACAGAAATGAATACGTTTTCCTTCTTTAGACTAGAAAGAGCAAAAATGAGTTTTATAATGATTAAAAAATGGTTTTAGAGCCTCTTAGATGTTTCTTACCTGAAATTAGTACCGCTGAATGTAAAATGATTTGTCATAAAAGCAGCAAAATGTAAACAAAATTCCATACAAAATACTATTTCGCTATAACTACTAATTGCTAACACGCAACAAATGCAAAAGAAGACTTTAGGTAATTGGCCAGTGGGTAAATTTTTTTAAAACTACAATAAAGTATATTAAAACATTTCTGAGGTATACTGGGACTTTAATAAGGAATGCTTACATGCCATGTGACTATGGTATTGATACACGATAATTATTTCGCGCTCAATGTAGTTCAACATATTTTTAATAAATTTTCTTTTGTATAATCTAATCATGTTAAAATGAAAATGATGTTAATTTTTCTTGCGTTGCAGAACTTGAAATAACGTACGATTTATTATTTTAATGCTTCGTAATGAACCACTTAAGCGTATAATTATGAGCGTTCGCGCTCAAAATTTATATATTTTACCAGATATCTATGTGACTTTAAACCGGTATATATAACGCCGCGTAGTAATGGCTTAACAATCTATAAATAGAATGTCACACAACAGTTACCCGGACGAAAGTTTAAGCAAAATACAAAATGATATCTGAAAAAGTAAGATAAAAACTTACCACATCAGTTCCTGTATTCTTTTCCATTTTTCTTGATTTAATATTTATTTATATATAGTAATTCTTCGTTGAAATAAGTTCCTTTGTCTTTCAGATAACTTTCTCCAATGCACAAATTTTCAATAGTTTGTTGACTTTATATTGCATTTAACACACCCGTTATTAAAGGCAATTAAATATTTTAAATCTCATATTAAATTTTATTCAAGAATGGTCAAAGGTCATCGAACCATTTTCCATATTCCGCGCTCCGGTTGTTTTTCTCCGGTTGCGTCCCAATAAATTTGCACGCTCCAGTTATTATCTAATATCTATGACGGCCGAGAAAACTATTTATAACCATAAACTTGTCTAAATATAGATTTTTGATACAACGCTTATATCGTTTATAAAACCAATATTATTAGCTCAATAAGTTTTCTTTATATTTTAAATTGCTTATTAATATGGTGTTCTGGAGTTTTATAATTATCATGATTATTATTATAAATATTATAAAAATAAGGGGAAGTAACTAAGTATGTAAATTCATTAGAAATTAAAACAAGGACGCGCACTGAGAAACTGGGACTCGGGGGTTAAAATTTAGAACAATTTGCCGATACCGATTCCGGGAGCTTAACGGAAATTACCGAAAGGTATCGGATATATAGATTTGAATGTGCATGCGTATTTAACATTTGAAGCTTGATTAAAGTTGTTTATTTAATTATTTCAAAATGTGATTATGTAAAGCAGACATAAACATGTATGTCATTTAAAAGGTAAAATTAATACGCTTTGTCTTGGCGGCTTATTAGCTCTGTAAATTTCGTAATGTGAAAAGTTTGTATCGGTTTAAATACAAAAAGGATAGTCTCATTAGCAGCGGAGGATGTGTCCATTTTGATAAAAAAAAAATACAATCGCATTGCTTGTTTAACCAAAAAGATCGCAATATGGATTAAAAACATAAAATCGTCATAACGAAGAAAATATTCAACAATTGTGCTATTTAAAGCTTAAAGGCACAGTACTGCTCAGAAATGAATACATTTTTCTATCTTTAAAAATGGCAAACATGAATTTAGTTATGTTAAGATAACAGTTTTAGAGAATGTTATGCTTGTTCTCACTTGACGAAATTAGGGGACATGTAAATTTGTATTAAAGATCAAATGTAAAAAATTGTTATTTTCTGTATGTGAATTTTGCAGTTAAAGTGGCTAACAAAAAGGGGTTACATTAATAGGGAAAACAATGATCTCCCGTTATGCTCAGCGGGGAAACAATCTAGCAGAGCATTCCAAAAAAAAGTGTAGAAAGCTTTTCGTTTTCTCGCTGGGTAAGCAAACTCAGATACAAATATAGTTAAAATCTCTGCTGGTATGCCAGCTGGCTGCATCTGGGGGACTTCCAAAAAATAGTGTAAAAATGCTCTACTGGATGCCCAGCTGGGAGGAAACTAGCAGGGATTCCTAAATGTAAAAAAAAATCTCTGTTTATACTCAGTGGATAAGATCTAGTGGGGGATTTTCCAAAATTTTTAAGTTAAAAAAACTTTTTTTTTTTGCTACTCAGCTGGCTAAGCAAATCTAGCGGGGCATTCCAAAATATAGTGTAAAAAATGCTCTGCTGTTATGCTCAGCTGGCTAAGGCAATCTAGCGGACATTCCCAAATATAGTGTAAAAATGCTCTGCTGTATGCTCAGCTGGCTAGGCAATCTAGCAGGACATTCCTTAATATAGTGTAAAAAATACTCTGCTGTTATACTCAGGTGGCTAAGCAATTTAGCGGGACATTCCAAAATATAGTGTAAAAGCTCTGCTGTTATGCTCAGCTGGCTAAGCAATCTAGTTGGGCATTCCAAAATATAGTGTAAAAAATGCTCTGCTGTTATGCTCAGCTGGCTAAGCAATCTAGCGGGGCATTCCAAAATATAGTGTAAAAGTGCTCTGCTGTTATGCTCAGCTGGCGAAGCAATCTAGTGGGGCATTCCAAAATATAGTGTGTAAAAAATGCTCTGCTGTTATGCTCAGCTGGCTAAGCAATCTAGCGGGGCATTCCAAAATTATAGTGTAAAAGTGCTCTGCTGTTATGCTCAGCTGGCTAAGCAATCAAGCGAGGCATTCCAAAATATAGTGTAAAAATGCTTCTGCTGTTATGCTCAGCAGGCTAAGCAATCTATCGGGAACATTCCAAAATATTGTGTAAAAATGCTCTGCTGTTATGCTCAGCTTGGTAAGCAATCTAGCGGGGCATTCCAAAATATAGTGTAAACATGATCTGCTGTATGCTCAGCTGGCTAGCAAATCTAGCAGGGGCATTCCTAAATATAGTGTAAAAATGCTCTGCTGTTATGCTCAGCTGGTTAAGCAATCTAGCGGGACATTCCAAAAATGTAGTGTAAAAATGCTCTGCTGTTATGCTCAGCTGGCTAGGCAATCTAGAAGGGCATTCCTAAATATAGTGTTAAAAAATGCTCAGCTTGCTAGGCAATGCCAGCAGAGCATTCCTAAATTATAGTGTAAAAATGCTCTGCTGGCAAGCTCAGCTGGTTAAGCAATCTAGCAGAGCGTTCCAAAATATAGTGCGAAAAATTCTCTGCTGGTATGCTCAGCTAGCTAAGCAATCTAGCAGGGCATTCCTAAATATAGTGTTAAAAATGCTCAGCTGGCTAGGCAATTCAGCCAAAGCATTCTTTGAAAATTAGTGAAAAATGTTCTGCCGGAATGCTGAGCCTGTCTTGGCAACTAGCAGGGCATTCTTAAATAAAGTATAAATTTTTTGGTCTGCAACTGATTATTTGGCACTCGTAGACTTTCTAAAATATTTAGTGCCAATGCAGATAATGACATTTTTTTACTTCTACGGGACCCTTAAGTGTCTATTTCTTGGACTCCGACTGATTCTCGGGACGATCGCAGACTTTCAGGAATTTTTGGTGTTAATTGCAGATAATGACATTTGTGAAATTTTTTAGGACCATCCAGAGTCCATTTTCGTTGGTCTGCGAATGTTTCTGGAACACTCGCCAGACTTTCCAGAAATTTTCGGTGCCCCAATGGAGATAATGACGATTTTTTACTTCCTTAAAATTAAAATTTTTACTCCTGAGTCTATTTCGTTGGTCTGCCGACTGATTCTGAGTCACTCGCAGACTTTCAGGATTTGGTGTCAATGCAGAAAATGATATTTCTGACTTATTGGGGCCTTTCTGAATCCATTCTTTGGTCTGCGACTGATTCTGAGGCACTCACAGACTTTCAGGAATTTTTGATGTCAAGACAGATAATGACATTTTTTACTTCTCAGGGACCATCCAGGGTCCATTTTTTTGGTCTGCGACTTAATCTTTGACAGTCACAGACTTTCAGGAAATTGTTTGCCAATAGAGATAATTACAATTTATGACATTTTTTAACCATCCAGAGTCTTTTTCGTTGGTCTGCGACTGATTATTGGGCACTTGCAGACTTTCAGGAATTTTTTGGTGCTAATGCAATAATGACATTTAGGGTAAAAAAATGCTCTGCTTATGACGTAAGGGGGTCCTTAAAAGTAAAAGAAGCCATGATATGCAATGGCACTAAACATCCTGAAAGTCTGCGATCTCAAGGGGAATCAGTCGCAGACCCAAGAAATTACTCTGGCGGTTCCCTAAAAGTCAGAAATGTCATTTATCTCCCATTTGCATCAAAATTCCTGAAAGTCTGCAAGTGTCCCAAAATCAGTCGCAGACCAGCGAAATGAAACTCTGGTGGGTCAAGTTAGAAGTCAAAAATGTCATTATCTCCATTTGGCAACCAGAGATCCTGAAGTCTGCGAATGTCCCAGAATCAGTCGCCAGACCATAAAAATGGACTTCTGGCGGGTTCCCTAGAAGTAAAATTCCATCATCTTTATTGGCACCAAACTTCCTGAAAGTCTGCGAATGTCCAACACAATACGCTGCAGGCCAATGAAAATGGACTCTTAAATGTCCCTAGAATCAAAAAATATTGATTAATTTCCATTAGCACCAACCATTTCCTGAAAGTCTGCGAGTGTCCAAGAATCAGGGTCGCAGACGACCAAAATGGACTCTTGAGGGGTCCCTAGAAGTCTTAATTGTCAATATCAGTATTGGCACCAAAAATTCCTGAATAGTCTTCGAGCTGTCCTTCAAAATTTCGCAGGACAATGAAATAGTCTCTTAAAGGGTCCTTAGGAAGTCAAAAATATCATTATTTCTATGGCACCAAAAATACTGAAAGTCTGCGAGATGCCTCAGAATTGGCCTAGAAGTCGAAAATGTCAATAAAACTTTGGCAACAATAAATCCTGGAACTGAATTAGTCTGCCAACTGAGCATGCCACCAAAGCATTTTTTTTAACTATAATTCGGAATGCCCTGCTAGATTGCTAGCCAGCTTAGCATTTCACCAGAGCATTTTTACACCATATTTAGTAAATGCCCCTGCCTAGATTGCCTAGCCAGCTGAGCATTCCACCAGAGCATTTTTTTTCACTATATTAAGGAATGCTCTGCTAGATTGCCGAGCCAGCTGAGCATTTCCACCAGAGCATTTTTACACTATATTTTAGTAATGCCCCTGCTAGATTGCCTAGCCCAGCTTAGCATTCACACGAAAAGCATTTGTTCACTATTTTAGTAAATGCTCTGCTAGATTGGCCTAGCCAGCTGAGCATTTCCACCAGAGCATTTTTTCACTATATTAAGAAATGCTCTGCATTGTGCCTAGCAGCTTGCATTCCTGCAAAGCATTTTAACACTTATTAGTAATGCCCTGCTAGATTGCCTAGCAGCTTAGCATTCCAGCATAGAGCATTTTACACTATATTTCGTAATGCTCTTGCTAGATTGCCTAGCAGCTTAGCATTCACCTAGAGCATTTTTACACTATATTTAGGAATGCCCTGCTAGATTTGCCTAGCAGCTTAGCTTTCCAGCAGAGCATTTTACACTATATTTAGCAAGCCCTGCTAGATGCCTACCAGCTTAGCATTCAAGCAGAGCATTTTTTACACTATATTTTAGTAATGCCCTGCTAGATTGCCTAGCCAGCTGAGCATTTCAGAAAAGCATTTGTCACTATATTTAGTTATGTCCTGCTAGATTGCCTAGCCAGCTTAGCATTCCAGCAGAGCATTTTGTCACTATATTTAGGAATGCCCTCTAGATTGCCTAGCCAGCTTAGCATTCCAGCAGAGCATTTTTACACCATATTTAGTAATGCCAGGATAGATTGCCTAGCCCGCTTAGCATTCCAGAATAGCATTTGTTACACTTTATATTAGTAATGCCCTGCTAGATTGCCTAGCAGCTTAGCATTCCAGCAGAGCATTTTTACACTATATTTCGCAATGCTTCTGCTAGATTGCCTAGCAGCTTAGCATTCCACCAGAGCATTTTTAACACTATATTTAGGAATGCCCTGCTAGATTGCCTAAACCAGTTTACAATTTAAGACAAGCATTTTTACACTATAGCTGAGTAATGCCCTGCTAGATTGCCTAGCCGCTTAGCATTCCAGCAGAGCATTTTACACTGTATTAGTTAATGTCCTGCAGATTTGCTTGCCCTAGCCAGCTTAGCATCAGCAGAGCATTTTTACACGATTTTAGTAATGCTCTGCTAGATTGCCTACCAGCTAGCATTCCAGCAGAGCATTTTTTTCACTTATTAGGAATGCCCTGCTAGATGCCTAGCCAGCTTAGCATTCCAGCAGAGCATTTTTTACACTATATTTTAATGCAGGCTAGATTGCCTAGCCAGCTTAGCATTCCAGAATAGCATTTGTACACTATATTTAGTAATGTCCTGCTAATTGCCTAGCCAGCTTAGCATCCAGCAGACATTTTAACACTATATTTAGTAATGCCTGGCTAGATTTGCCTAGCCAGCTGAGCGTTCTAGCAGAGCATTTTTCACTAAAGCTAGGAATGCTCTGCTAGATTGCCAAGAACAGCTGAGTATTGCAGCAGAGCATTTTTTTAAACCCCAACTATATAAAGGGAAAGCCCTGCTAGATGCCCAAAACAGCTGAGCATTACACTTCCCTATATAAATTGAAATGCCTTTTTTGCTTAGCTCACTGTTCACTGCTAACTTCTCACATACATTTTTACTTCCATAGTACATGAAGAAAATGTTGTCCCAATTGCCAGAAGGCAACATAAGAAAAACAATGATTTAGGCGTGGGTGCCCAACTCGCGACACCGGGATTTGTAGAACTTTCGTACATTAATCAATCGGAACATAATCGGCTATTTTTAATAATTACCACGGAAACAATACGGAGTGAAAGTAGTTCTACCACGTGATTCTTCGATAGTGTAAATCGAATGTATCAAGGAAAATATAGTCTACTTCGGTACAATTATGTTTGTAAATATGTCTGACAACCATTTTTAATTTAAATCTTTAAAAACAAATCCGACTTAATGTCGACCGGGTGACATTTTTTACTTTCGGTTTTTACAACCATAATAATAAATAAAGAAATAACGTATTGTTTACTTTTGCATATATTATGTAGACTTTTACTGAATATATTGGTAAAAAACTTGTCAACAACTCACAGCAGTAAATTACTATTTGTTTACATGTTCAGTTTCTTAGCGTAGATTAGACCGAACTACCGCATAGACAGGACTGATTTTGAGAATTTGGCTCCCTATAAGATGCTAGAGGCATTTTGTAGTACAAGAGGTATCTTGGTGTATTTAACCTATTTAAGGTATGCTGAATCCGGTAAAAGTGGATACCAAATTGAAAAACTTGATCTTGACCATTGAAATGGCCATTTAAAATGACCACTAAAATGGGCGCCAAATTTCTTTAACATCAAATGTCAAATAAAACATTTAAGGAAAGGAAAAGCCTGATATTTGTCACAAAGCATGTTGAGGTAAAAACAAATTAGACACCAAAACAGAATTAAAACAACAAAACAATCCAATATGGCTGAATAATCCAAGATGGTGGACATTTTTCTATAGGCCAATATAACATATAGAAGTAATATTAAAGATAGTACTGACAATTTTAAGGCATTTAAACATAAGAGACCTGTATTTAGGGTTTACACTGCTAGATATAGAGGTTTCATGTATTTTATCTGGCACTCTATGCAAGCATATAACGTGACTACTCAGATACTTCGTATGTGTGAGGAGGTTAAACATGTGCATGCAAAATATACATTAATTAAAGGCAACTTTCTCTGAGTACTCTTGAGTTTTGATACTCGTTTTTTCTGTTATTGGTCGTCGTCTTCGTTCTTCTATTATCGGTCCTGGTCTCAGTTCTTTTGTTGTCAGATGTTGTTTTATCGGTTGAAGTCCCTGTTTTCGGTCGTCGTCTTTGTTCTTCTGTTTTCGGTTCTCGTCTTCGTTCTTCTCCGTTCATCTGTCATCGGTTCCCGACTCTATTCTTCTGTAATCAGTCCTGGTCTCCGTTTTCTTGTTGTCAGTTCTTCTGTAATCGGTTCCCGTCTCTGGAATCAGTCCTCGTCTATGTTATTCTGTTATTGGTCCTCGTATCTATTTTTCTGTTATCAATCCTCGTCTCCGTTGTTAGTTCTTCTATTATCGGTCCCTGTCTCTGTTCTTCTGTTATCGGTCCTCGTATCTGTTCGCTTGTTGTCAGTTCTGCTGTAATCGGTTCCCGTCTCTGTTCTACTGTATCAGTCCTCGTCTCTGTTCGCTTGTTGTCAGTCCTGCTGTTATCGGTCCCTGTCTCTCTTCTTCTGTTATTGGTCCTCGTCTCTGTTCTTCTGTTATCGGTCCTCGTATCTGTTCGCTTGTTGTCAGTTCTGCTGTAATCGGTCATCGTCTCTGTTCTTCTGTTATCAGTCCTCGTCTCTGTTCGCTTGTTGTCAGTCCTGCGGTTATCGGTCCCTGTCTCTGTTCTTCTGTTATTGGTCCCTGTCTCTGTTCTTCTGTTATCGGTCCTCGTCTCTGTTCGCTTGTTGTCAGTACTGCGGTTATCGGTCCCTGTCCTGTTCTTCTGTTATTGGTCCTCGTCTCTGTTCGCTTGTTGTCAGTTCTTGTCTCCGTTCTTCCTTCTGTTATCGGTCGTCGTCTTCGGTCTTGTACTTTCGGTACTTGTTTCCTGTTCCGTTAAGGTTTTCTCTTGTATCTATCGTTGCCGTCATTCTGTGTCGATATCCTGGTTTTGTCAGTCTTGTAGTCATTTATTCGTTCAGTGGAGAAGCGGGGGATCGAACTCACAACCCCTTGATTTGTAGGCAGACAGTGTTACCACTGCACTATAGCGTCCGCTCTGAATAATAACGAATTTTGAAAGTCTTTTATACATTAAATACTATTTCAATGGCTAACAAAGGGTGTATTACAATTATATTTTAACACCTCTACTATGTAGCCAACCCACGTGACTTTTATAAATGGTCAAAGAAAATATTACTCGATTTATTACAAGTAATATTTTTATAGATAACTTTGCTGTTACTTTAAGATATCCTGGATTTATTGGAGGGTATCCGGAATTCTAATGTATATCAAATGATGTGATAATCTTCTAGTAGAACTTTCTCAAAACCGTGACTGAATTCCAAAATTTTCGAGAGCTGCCATGGTAAAGCAAGCACACGTAGCAATCTCCCGGTTTCAAACATTTTATGACTCGATGTAAATATGGTGTTGTTATTGTTGTTGTTGTTTTTAACTTTAACTTTAAATTTCAAATTAAATAGTCACTTATTTTTAAACAAGATGGTAAACATTTGGTGTTTTCTGTAATTTTTGTGAAGAATATGATGAAGTATACATCACATATATGTGATGTGTCAAAGTCAATTTTATTATCTTGGTATCCACCCTCATCGTCTTCAGCATACCCATATTAGGTTAAAACTCTCAAGATATTACTTGTACTATAAAATGCCTCTAGCATTCATATTTTCTTAAAATCAGTCCTGTCTAGTATCCGTTCTGTGTATTCATACTAATGTGTTCGAAGGCCTTATCCGAAGACTGACGGAAAGGGCCGAAAGGTTGCGATTGGTACATTAATACGGTTTGTCAAAAATAAAATTCGTTTATTGTGTTGTCATAATAATAGTAATAATAATACGTAAATTTTGTGATGCGTTTGGGTGGTCGTCACGTGTCCTCGATGCATGCATGTGGTCGCATGGTCGAAAAAACAACGTTTTCAAAAGAGTTCTGGTACGGAAAATTGTCTGCAACAAGATGAACTAAATTACTTTCATTTAACTAGAGTTAGAACTTTATTAAGCTTAAAGGGTCATCTTTTAATCACGAAATCCTATTTTTAGAAAAACTTAAAGTTACTACAGTGTCGAATCTAAAAAGAAAAAAAGTGCAACTGTTTGGATCTTTTTGTTACTTATATAACATATCAAATATGTTTCTTAATACATATACGTTGATTATTATTACAGTGTTGTATTCATGTTCAGTAGATGGATTAAGGTGGAAAGATTGCGGTAGGCATTCCGTTTTAAATTTTTTTTTTGCAAAAAAAAAAAAAAAAAAAAAAACAACTTGAAAATGGTCTTAAATGATCTTTTTTACTGAGCGTATATTTTGTATTGACTGTACAACTATGTGTTCGTAGTTTTCATCAACATTATAATCATCATCGTCGTCGTTGTCGCTGTTGTCGTCATCATCACCATCATCATCATCATCATCATCATCATCATCATATTCAGGGCCGTCATCATCATTGTCGTCGTCATCACCATCATCAGAGCCGTCGTCATCCTCATCATCATCGTCATCATCATTTACTTCTTATCCTACTTCTGCTTCTTCTTCTTCTTCATCATTATCATCCTCGTCGTCATCATCATTTCATCATTATTTCTGATAGTATATGATAAAATTTATAGTGTGAAACTTTACTCTTCTTATGCTCAGTCGGGTTTTATAACATTAAATATTCATTTTATCTTTACAGCTTCCAATCCACTAAACGCCTCGTTGACCTTTGACTCCTTCCAGATATGGCCATTCCCCGTGGTCATCCCCGGGAATGTACATTTCTCAGCCGATGTGACGGTTAATAAACAGATTCATAAACTCTACATTGACGAAGATGTCGACGAGCTTATATCGAAGTATATCTTCACGTTGCCATGTGCCGTGGACGGATTAGGCTCTTGGTAATAAATTGCATATGAGCCGCGTCACGACAAAACCAACATAGGGCGTTTGCGACCAGCATGGATCCAGACCAGCCTGCGCATCCGCATGGATCCACGCAGGTCACAAACGCACTATGTTGGTTTTGTCGTGACGCGGCTCATATATGCTTTGTCATAATAATTCAACCATTACATTGCTCGAACTGAAAATGATTAGGCTTGTATAGAGCCAGGCCAGCCTGCACCTCCGTGTAGTCGGACCAGGCTGTGTACTGTTGGCATACCATCTTCAAATTTTCATTTTTTCATATTCCACAAATTGATAATAGACAGGTTCAAAAATGGAAATCTGACAAGTCAATTTAAGACATTCAACATGTAAAAACTTCATTTCACATGCATTTATACATCTGAACGCTACCTATATTTCTAAGCCTTTGAATTTGTTGGGCGGTAGTTGATATGAACAAATTAAATAGAGGATATTTGTTTGTTTGTGTGTAAGATGAAATTTTATTTCATCGAGTGAGCTTTAAAAACAGTTTTCTCACGAGTGGCGTAGCCACGAGTGAGAATACTGTTTTTAAAGTTCACGAGATGAAATAAAATTACATCTTACACAACAAACAGACAAATTTTCTTTTTATTTTATGCTTAAAAACAAGTTAAAACGAAATTTCCATAATTTTAACGTTAATATTTAAAATCTGTTTCCCCATTGAGAGCCCCATTTAGACGGAATTTTCTCATTTAAAACAAGAAGTCTTGAGCTGAAAAATAAGTCCGCCAATCAAGGTTAAATGACGGTGATATTTATTCATTTTATTAAAAAAATATGAATGATCGCTTGTTTTAATAATAAAAACAAACAATTCCTGCAGGAGAAAATTCCAACCATCCATCCATATTTCTGTTACTTACTGCGAATTTATATTAGACCTGGCTTTCTAAAATGTAAACGGCAGCCATTGTTTAAAAGTTGTGTATTTCATGGGAGGAAAATAATTGTGTAAGATTCAGAAGGATATAATTTGGATTTGTTATCATACACCTTTTTAAAAGAAAAGAAAACTTATTTGAGGATTGTAACAGACAAAAAATAAGTGTTGACAGAAGTGAAAACATTCAAGAAAAGGAGCTAGGAAAATGGAAAACTTGGGAGCTTGCTGAAGGAACGCTGGGTTGATTTACTTATTTTACGAGTGATGGCTGTCAATGCTTTTCAATTTTTCATAAAGCATACGGCAGTTATTGCTCGTAGGATACTTTAATATGCCCAAATGTCATCAAGAGCAGCATTTTGCATGGGGAAGGAATGTATTTTTCAGACTGTAAAAACGAAACAAAAAAAATTTAGAGACGAAATTTGGTGATTGGAATTTGAAGGAATAGAAGTAAGTTTTCTCTCTGTGTTACTTTTGACATTTAAGCTATTTATCTATTTCAGCTTTGCTATTTCTTTTAACAGCCTGACATTGTCAGAATTGTCCGTAAAAATAAAATTGAGGTACCACATGGGGAAAATCTTAAAAAAGTAGTTTCGTCATTGAAAAAAGTGAAATTATATTTTGATAATTTTCACTGTGAAATTATCAAATATAATTTTCACGGATAAATCAGTAATTCACTGAAAAGCATAAAATAAACAGTGTTTTTTGTGGATGTTTAAAGCTTTTCCCGATATTTTTTTCTATGTGCTGGGATGGACAAATATACATTTTATTTAAGGGTTTTTCTTTTGGTTTTTTTTTTGAACTCTAACCTCAAAGTGTCGATATACATGTATATATATATGCAATTATGTGTTCGTAGTTTTCATCAACATTATAATCATCACCGTCATCGTTGTCGCTGTTGTCGTCATCATCATCATCATCATCATCATCATCATCACCATCATCATCATCATCATCATCATCATCATCATCATCATCATCATCATCATCATCATCATCATCATCATCATCATCATCATCATCATCATCATCATCATCATCATCATCATCATCATCACCATCATCATCATCATCATCATCATCATCATCATCATCATCATCATCATCATCATCATCATCATCATCATCATCATCACCACCATCATCATCATCATCATCATCATCATCATCATCATCATCATCATCATCATATTCAGAGCCGTCATCATCATTGTCGTCGTCATCATCATAATCATAATCATCATCATCAGCGTCGACGTGGTCGTCATCCTCATCATCATCGTCATCATCATATATATATACATACAAACAATTATATATACATATAGATTCCAGTGGTGACATTGATGCTTGCGAGTACCAGAATCAAAATCTCCCGGTTGTATGGGAGAAATTTATGTATTACATGCTGGGAAATGACAGTACTTGTCCAGTTCCTACTAAATCTGTGGTAATCCAAGACGAAATGTTGACAATCGCCAACTTGCCGATAGAGCTAGCCAACTTTGCAAGCGTAAGTTTTTTTTTATTTATTTGAAATGTTGAATACACTTAAAGGCAACAAACAAGCAAGCAAGTAAGCAAACAAGCAAGCAAGCAAGCAAACAAACGAATAAGCAAGCAAGCAAGAAAACAAATAACATTAACACACAAACAACATTAACACACAAACAAACTAATAAAACAACAAACAAACAAACAAACAAAGAAACACGAACACACACACAAAGAAACACTGATGAGAAGAAACAACAATCGAATTGACAACAACAACAACAACAGATAATAGTTACATTTGTAAATCTGTGAGATGCTTGGTGTTAAATTTCGTACTGCTTGTGAAATTTGTAATTAACACTGATCGAAAGAAAATATAACCAGGTAAAATTTCCACTAGAAATCCCTACACTTTTGTTACATACCTTTTACCACGGATTTACAGACAAATTACAAGTAAAATGGTTTCCTGCGGGGAACATTTTTAATGATATAAAGATATTTCATTTAACTATTTTCAACATTGTTTTGAGGGAGGGGAATTAATTAACGTTTGTATCAGGAATATAGTTGACAATAATCGATCAATATAGAAGAAGGTCTTTGGAAACTGGTGACCGTTGATGACCGGAGAAGGTCGAACATAAAACAATTATTTCTTTTTAAGAAAATGATTAAATAGGCCTACCATTTTATGAATAATTCCAAGCAAAAAAAAAAAAATAATAAAGTAAACACACAAGTTTATGCAGAAAAATTCTCTATTTATTATGGCAGATGCCACTACGAACATTTTAATTTTGTAGATTTTCAGTATAAACAATTTATTGTTTGTAAAATTTGAACTACATTATGTCATATATTAAAGAAACGATGATAATTTTCAAATACATCATTCAAGTTTTTCCACCTTAAACGGTAAAATAATTATAGAAAATTAGAAGTGTCACGTAATAAATTTTTGTTCTTAATTAGGTGTAATTCTGATTTCCCTAGAGGTAATTCCGTAACGTACCGACAAACGGTATTTAGCCAGGTTTTCGAAAAGGTCAATTAACCAATCGTGTACGGTTTATAGATCACATGCTCCTCCATGTACCGAAAACAGGTCACGTGCTCCTCCATGCCTCAAAAGTTAAACGCGCGGTCTCCAGACCGCAGGGAATAATCGACATCGAATCATTCTGTAAAATTATGACTTTCTGTTTTCAGAGAATGTTCGAAATACGCCTCCATTTTAAGGACGACAAGAATAGCAAAGGCCACATAGGGTGCCTGGAGTTAGACTTCGAGTTCACTTTATCTGACTCCATACTTAGTGCATTAGGTTGAACACGGCGCAGTGTTTTGGACAATATGTAAAGACACTGCAAAAACATCATGATGCCATTTGTTTTATATTTTTAATTTGCTGTCAGTCGTTTATGCCAATTTAATGATATATAATATAAAACAGATGTGTTTTGCTTTGTGTTTTGTTACGCGCATTCATTATTTTTATTTCAAGGGACAGAACTCTTACAGAAAAAGTGTATATACGTATACACGAATTATTTCCCCTACATAAAGAAGGGACACAGAACTTTGTTAAGGTATGTGTTTTATATGCAATATTAATGATAATAATAATAATAATAATAATAATAATAATAATAATAATAATAATAATAATAATAATATTAATAATAATAATAATAATTATGTAAAAAAAAAAAAAATAATACCCACACAAATCAATACATATTTGTTCAACTCAAAACATAATAATATGTCTCAGGTTCCACAATAATATGAAAGAAAAAGAAAGAAATAAGAAAAATATATAATTATACAAAATTACCGAGTGTACGCTTACCTTACGTGTTTTAATTAGGTCATTTCGCTTTTATATAGGTTATCATCTTTGCGTCATTTTGGTTTAACTTTGGCCTCAAACGATTCCTTATCCTGCTTAAAGTGAACCTAATTTGAAACCAAACAGGATAGAGTTGTCCGACATTCGCGTCTTAAAGTTCATTTCTGCAAGAGGAAGTGCATCCTAAAATGCACCGGTAGATCTTCATTGCACTTAATTTTAACATTATAAACGTTATTTTTGCAGACATTTTAGCCTTCTTGTCTAGTGTTATGACACCATTAACCTTCTAAATCCTGGGGGTCCTTCCTTATCTAACACGAACTTGTTTCACTTAATACATTTGGTTTATATAATAGTAAGACAAAAAATGGCACATATATTAGTAACTAGTGTTTTAAGTTGTATTTTTATTATTTGTGTAAATATAGCGAACGGACAATTGAACTGGACGGATTGTAGTAAGTGCCCTTTGTGATTTAATGATTAACGTTTCGTTTAATTAAGAAAAACATATCGGCTTACTTAAATCTATATATAATAACATTTTATAACGTACAAGAGTGTATTTTAAGCTTTTAAATATTATAACTATGACATTTCTGGTAAAGAATTCTAATTGAAATGATTGAATATTTCTGTACCTGAGCACACTCAAATACTTAAGAGTGCACGTATTTATAATGATTTATATGCATCAAATTCGTGGAATTATTTGTTCAATTCTCGATATAATATAGGATCATATATTGTACAAGGGAAAGATTTGGTGCATTCTGTTTAAATTTTAAAACAGTAAACCTCATTTTCTTATATTATCAAGCGCACGCACGCGCACACGCACGCATGCACGCGCACGCACATAAGTACATGCACGCATGTACGTATACTTAGACCAAAAAAAATAGCACATAAACATTTTTTTTCATAGTGAATACACTTTGTTTTGATTACTTTTAGAACCTAACGAGTTCGCTGACCCTATCTATGTCCACTCTTTAATTGTATCACCGTTGCCGATCCGCCTGCCCGGAGTCTACAATGTCTCGTTTGATGCTGTGGTAAGTAGTTATATAGACGAACTGGTTATCGAGGTGGATATTGGTTGGAGGAATCGTACGTCTGGTGAGATGGAGAAAGTTTTCCCAGAAGATGAAAATAAGTCGTTGTGAGTATAAACTAGGTCATGGTTAAGACTAGGGGTCATAAGGTCAAGTGGAAACTATGTCATGATTTAAGATATGGGTCAAAAGGTCAAATATAAACTAGGTCATAAGGTCAAGTAAAAATAGGCAATAATTCAGTATGGGGATCATAAGGTCAGGTATAAACTATATCAGGATTAAGGATATAAGTTAATAGGTCAAATATAAACTAGGTCATAAGGTCAAGTAAAATAGGCAATGATGCAGTATGGGGTCATAAGGTCAAGTATAAACTATGTCATGATTCAGTGTAGGGGTCATAAGGTCAAGTATAAACTATGTCAATATTAAGGTCAATAGGTCAAATATGAACTAGGTCATAAAGTTAGGTAAAAATAGGTAATGCTTTTAAAAGCATAGTGATCATAATGTCACTGCGTGTATATAATTTGGGAAAACTAAACTAAATAGTTGTTTTTTATAGTTAAACTTGGCATTTGTTAGTTACTTTGAATAAAAAAATATATATTTCTAATTTTCTTCATGTTAATTGTTTTTCACTTTAACGTTATTTATTTTATGCTTTTCAGTGGATTACTGATTTATCCGTGAAAATTATATTTGATAATTTCACAGTGAAAATTATCAAAATATAATTTCACTTTTTTCAATGACGAAACTACTTTTTTAAGATTTTCCCCATGTGGTACCTCAATTTTATTTTTACTGACAATTCTGACAATGTCAGGCTGTTAAAAGAAATAGCAAAGCTGAAATAGATAAATAACTTAAATGTCAAAAGTAATAAAGAGAGAAAACTTACTTCTAGTCTATTCATTCAAATTCCAATCACCAAATTTCGTCTCTAATTTTTTTTTGTTTCGTTTTTACAGTCTGAAAAATACATTCCTTCCCCATGCAAAACTGCTCTTGATGACATTTTGGGCATATTAAAGTATCCTACGAGCAATAACTGCCGTAATTTATGAAAAATTGAAAAGCATTGACAGCCATCACTGGTAGAATAAGTAAAACAACCCAGCGTTCCTTAGCAAGCTTCCAAGTTTTCCATTTTCCTATCTCCCTTTCTGGATGTTTTCACTTCTGTCAACACTTATTTTTTGTCTGTTACAATCCTCAAATAAGTTTTCTTTCTTTTAAAAAGGTGTATGACTAACAAATCCAAATTATATCCCTCTGAATCTTACACAATTATTTTCCTCCCATGAAATACACAACTTTAAAAAATGGCTGCCGCTTACATTTTACAAGGCCAGGTCTAATATAAATTCGCAGTAAGTAACAGAAATATGGATGGATGGTTGGACTTTTTCTCCTACAAGAATTGTTTGTTTTTATTAATAAAACAAGCGATCATTCATATTTTTTTAATAAAATGAATAAATATCACCGTCATTTAACCTTGATTGGCGGACTTATTTTTCAGCTCAAGACTTCTTGGTTTTAATGAGAAATTCCGTCTAAATGGGGTATCAATGGGGGAAACATATTTTAAATTAACGTTAAAATTATGGAAATTTCGTTTTAACTTGTTTTTAAGCATAAAATAAAAAGAAAATTTGTCTGTTTGTTGTGTAAGATGTAATTTTATTTCATCTCGTGAACTTTAAAAACAGTATTCTCACTCGTGGCTACGCCCACATATATCCTCTATATCTTAGTAACTAATACATACAATCATGTTCATGTTTCAGACGCGTGTATGACGCCTGTTACGTCATCAACAAGATTTTATTTAGTGACCCTAGTGCCATAGCCAACGATATTGATGTACACATAGATAAACTTCTGGTAGATGCACTCAGGTATAAATAATAGTTTCATAAAATAAAGAAATTTGTTTCATATAACGATTTTTGACAGGGTTTTATGGCCATTTATCAACGTCTTAAATGATTGTTTGCAATATAACAATCACAGAATTATGACTGTTTATATATATATTTTAAATATCTTAAATCAGGTATCACGCCGGATGTCCACTTCTCGCCGGCAGGATGACTATTTCTAGCCAGCCGATCCAACTTCCGGTCAATATTATACCAATGAACGCTTTAAGATCGGTAAAATCATTTTGTATTTACTCCGTTCCTGTTTTGTTCTATATGTATATTTCGTAATCAACATAATATATTAGTTTAGTTCCCACGAATTTGTTCCAGTTGCCTTATGTTGGAAGCTTTACACTTATTTAAACACTCCCGAATCCGTTCCTGAAACCAAACAGTTCTTAGCAATGAGTGTAAAGTTTCTTGCTCGTGTAAACAACGGCTTTTCCCTGACGGGGTTTGAACCCATGCGACCAGCAATACTGATTTTTTAAGGTTACTAGTCCGACATATGAACCTCTTCGCCACGCCACCATCTTGCCTTAATTTGAAGCGCATCAAAGCGGATAAAGCGTCATCTTTACATGGATTCTGATGATTCTTTTGTTAGATGACAAAACTTGACGACACAAATTAACTGATTTCGTAAACCATGCAAGCGTCGCAAGATAAGACAGTTTTCCGAAATGTAAAATATAATAATTTGTTGCATAGAGGGTTATATTTTCTCATATTTGGATATAACGTACAAGTTCTTCTAATTTATATTTCAGGACCGTTATGCAGTGAAAATTAATTTCAAAAACAGAAGAAACAAACTCTTAGGTTGTATACAATTTCATGCGCCTTATGGTGGACAAGTTATCAATTAAATTCATTCATTATATTTTATGTTTCCTTTTTTGCTGCATCATATAACTATCACATCCGTTTCGTGATAACTTTTGGCGAAGTTAAAATCACGCGATGAGTTCAAGGAAATGACCTTGACCTATATATATATATTTTTTAGTTAAATATGTTTCAACAGCCTCAAAAGGCGATAGATCTTTATTCTCTCATTTAGTTCTCTTCTAATGACTAGGTGGTGTAACAATAGTATCCAAGTTCTTAACAAATTTGAGTGATAGTAACCTTGACCTTTGACCTACCGACACCCAAAACAAAAGACAAATTTCGCACTGGGTATTGAACGTATCAAACAGACAAGGTTTTAAATTCTAGCTGATGGCGAGATTGACTCCTGACCTATTAACATTTCTCTTTTACTAACTTAGGTCGGTCTTATTTTAAAGGTTAAATACATTGGACCGGTTTGCACTCAGTTATTTAACAGTATAATTTAAACAAATTCTTACAATTGTAACGTATATTATTCCCGAGTCCGCTCCCTCGACTAACTAAAACAGGTGTTTTGAAAGAAAAAAAAAGATCTGATATATCAAATATGATAAAGTGACACAACTCCCGCTTTCAAAATTTATAATATTAATAATGATAAAAAATAATAATAATATTAATAATAACGACGACGATGACGACGATGACGATGATGATGATAATTGTGATAACAAGAAAAAGAAGAATAAAAGAACAACAATAGCAACAGCAACAATAACAATAAAAACAAAAATTGTGATGATCTTCATAATTCGAATATCTTATTTTATATATTAAATAACATACATAAATTTGGGAGGTGTTCGTCAGCAAAATTGGATCTATGGATATTTTATTATGATTAAGTGAGAAAGAGCATTACAATTGAGGGAAAGTTCATCTATCAAAAACGAAAACAATGTGTATATATTAAATTAGCGTTATAAATGATCATCAAAAAAGAATTAACAATTAAAAGTAATCAAATTTAGCGAAAAGGTAGGTAAACCGCACTTTTGCATATTGTTGATTTAACGATTAATCAGTTCGGTGAAATGCGGGGGTGTCCTTAAGATTGATTATTCAAATTGTTTTTGGTAAATAGGTAAAATATACGGTATGTAAAATATATAAACAACTTATTATGGCAAGGTTACAGTCCGGATAAAAACAGCCGGACAAATCAATGCACTAGTTCACTGACTGACAACTTACTAATACACTTCGCCAATGTGACGATTAAAGCGGATTGGTCTATAATGGAAGGTCCTTAATGCATTGAATAATACGTACATTAAACAGTCAGTTAAACGTCGATAGTATTTAGACGTAAAAGAATAATAACAAACCATGAACGAATTATATATTGATGTTGTTGGAAAGTGTAAAAAATACATGTTCCGATATTATATACATTTATAAAAAAAATAAGATAATAAAATGTTCTAGAACAAAATATTATCATTCATCATATTTATAAATGTTCGTACTCAATCACTTTAGAACTTTGTCAACATCTTTTTTTTCAAGCTATATTATATAAAAGTATCTAAATAATACATTTCTATCGTTTTTTATAAATATTTGAAATTCTTACGAAAACATGTGACCATTGTAGTGTAGACCAACCCACTTTAAAGTATTTGCTTACATATTTTCAGATCTTAAACATGCATGTATGTATGGTTTACATGTTTCGGTTTGTTACGATATACATGTTCATACATGTATCAGCCCCCCCCCCCCCAGAGATGAATAAAACGCCACTTTGATCATTCATTTACTTTGATGTCAGTTGATACATCGTTTGCCTTACAAAGTCACTTTAAACTTAGAATGATGTGTAATCAATTTATTTTAAATGTTTCGAATTTTGCGCGACTTCTTTTATTAGGTTATTTTGATTGTTGTTTTGCTTTTTTAACATTGCATGCTCTTTTTAAGACCTTAATATTGAAGTGTATTTCTGATATACTGGTTTAAACCATTTGGAACTATTCTTTTATTACTCAATCATTTTGTGTATCATTCGCATACTATTGTGCTACTTGTAATTAGAGATGTCCAGCATACATGCTTTTTTGGTCTTTGTTTAGATTAAGTGGAAAAGAAACGCAAATAAAAATACATTTAACATAAAAATGATTTGAACACCAAAAAAGTCTAATATTGTAGAAATCGTCAATATAAAACAGGCACTGGCATTGTATTTTTTATATCTTTAAATAGATCTAATGGGACACCAGTTTGAACTGAAAGAGAAGCTGTGTATATCGCTTTATAGCGCTTTTATAGGCATTCAAGTATAACTAAAACATACATATGAAAATACGTTCCTTTTATTGGTTAAATATTCCATTTCAATCAAAATAGTGAATGTATTTTAGACTATGAAAAGAAAATACAAAATATACCAAATAGTGTGTACATGTCAAAAGGGCAATTTGTACAAAAGAAAACAATTGTTTCAATCAGAATTGAGGTAGAACATATATTAATGTTTACACCAGAAGATTTACATGTATATCAAAAATCATATATACATTATAAATACAAAAGGATTTCATGCATTCAAATGTGAATTTCTTTTCGTAAATTGCCCGAGCGTTACTCCCGTAATTCCGCAAAATGTCCAGTAATTTGGCTTTAAAGAAATGTATTGTTCCTCGAAAATGTGTTCTGTTCTTTTAATGCTATAAGAAACTTTTTGTATTAAAAATATTAGACCTGTTTCATTCAAATTTAAAGGGACTCCACTGAAGTTTTTTTTTTGGACAAAACGGGACATATTTTTTCCTAGATTGGTGTACCTTTTGATGTTGGACTGAACAAATATCTTGTTTGCAAATTTTCAGATCATAACCTTCGCCCTTTTTTTCTTCAAAAGCAACTTTTTTATTGTTGAAATTGATTGCATAAAAAATCAATTTTTAATATGATTTTTTTAGCATAATTCTTTATTATTCTTTGCCTATTTTCACTTGATATGTGTAAGAATGTCAAATTTTATGTTTTTAGGCTTTTTGACCTCAATGGAGCTGCATTAATTAACAGGTTTGAAACTGGACAAAGCGAAAATTGCATTTTGTTCGAATTACAAAAAGACAGCAAATACGGGGTGGGTGGCGTAGTTTGAATTTGACCTTGACCGACTGACAGTTGCAATTGTTCATTGGCGTTAGTTATTTGTGTAACAATAAGATTACAGAAAAAAACCCGCCTTTTCCATTTGAAATCTATTTTCACTTAACATTATTCTAAGCAAACCCTTTTTTATGACTTTATTCTATAAATAGCTCTGATTTGGAATGATAAGTAGGTCACATTGTAGGTGCGCCACATATACAATCACGTTGAAAAGATTTATAGTATAGCAACGAAAATCCCAGTAGAATATTAATATATATACACACACATACAAAAAGTGTATATGTAAGTAAAGATTGACTATATATCTTTTAAAAAACACTTTAAACAATATAACATGGTCCAAAATAGGAAACAAAAATTACTTTGATCTTTTTTAATCATTAAAAAGACGTACAATGAAAAATAAAAACCTGTTGTTATCTCTATTCATTTTGTCCTTTTCCTTTGGATGAAAGCCTCTCTCAATATGTTTGCAAATAGAGAGTAAACAATTCTAAAAACACTTACAAAATAATAAATTTAATTATTAGTCCCTGTATCGTAAGCCATTCATATAGTGTTTGTTTATATGCACCGTAAGCCCGAAATGTATTATGTGCTAAAATATAAAACACTGCAAAAAATTGATTTTTAAACTGCATCACGAAATCAGAAAAGAAATGCACACAGCTACAGGTAGGCCTAAATACGGTTAATTTGGTTCTTCACTATTTCGTTATGTTCTCTCATATAATTAATTAGAACAAGTATAACAAAGGCCAACAGGCAACAGCATCACAGTAAAATATGCTAAAATTAGATTTGTGTCAACTATTTATAGTTTCGTGAATGAAACTTAAAAAACAAAACAAACTTATTTATAGAAAAATCTAAGATAGGCGTTCACCTCAAGTTGAACATTTTGCACTAAAAGGCATTAAAGGCACACTATGTGTCAGAAATGCATATCTATATATTGTATTCTTTGAAACTGTCAAAGATGTGTTTAATAATGTTTAGATATTGTATTAAGAGCATGTTAGATGTTTGTCAACTAAAAAAAACAATAGCACTGAACATGCAGTTATGTGTCGTAAGGTAGAGAAATAGTAGTATTTAGACTTCCCTACTAATTTCACCTTAACTGTACCAATTGCCAACAGAAATAAAAAGCAAAATATAGTTCATGTATATGGTAAGTGAAAACCAAACATAAACAGTTTTTGAGAAAACAAATGAGAGCATTTCTGAGGCATAAAAAGGTCTTTAACTTTTTGCTCTAAGAGGCATCTACTTTTTGCAATAAGAGTTTTCTGTTATCCGCACGGGTAGTCATTTTCCAATATTCATTTCGGTAAATTGTGACGTGTAGCCATACATATACATGTATAATTAATAAAAGATCTGTAACCACACTGTACATTTATCCACTAAATGTCCTTCTTTGTGGATCCACATACATATTGCAAACAAAATATAAAAAATATAAACGGTCATGTCTTTCCTTTACGAGAATCAAACGATCTTTGCTTACAACACTTTAAAAAGTACCCTGTATATTAACTGAAAGTTTGTACAGCAAATTCAATTTTTAATCACAGCTTCATATCCCATGATTTGCCTGAATTACGCCCATCAAGGGCCGTTCTAAAACCGTAATAAAGCAGTTGTGTCTATTTCCTTATTTCATTGGCAGGCACACACGCTGTTTTCACATAGTCATAGCAATGTCCTTGTTCACATTCAATTTCATATACAAGCGGACCCGTATCTAGACAATAAACCACTAAGGTGCAAGGTCCATGAGGATGAGGGTGGATTGTGAACTGTCGCTTTCCTTCGCAATAATTGCCTGAAATAAAAGTGGATATAATATAATCATGCTTTTCCACTGTACTGACATAAACGTCGGGTTTAAGGGAAAATAATGTAGTCTACGACAATCCTCGTATATACGATTTCATATCAGGCTGACCATTGTTCGATCATATACTAGACTGACAAATATCTGGTTATATCTAAAAGCTGACAAATGCCTGAGCAAATTTTAGGCAACTGACAAATGTTAATCAATCATTAAGCTGACAATTTTCTAATCTTTTCATAGGCTGATATATGTATGATGATAAATAACGGCTGATTAATGCATTTTTAATAATTTGGCTGACAAATGTCTTATCATATAGTATTGAATATTATATACTAGGCTGACAAATTTCTGATATTATATCAGGCAGATAAATGTCTTATTAATAATTTGGCTGACAAAAGCCTAATCATATATATGCACTTTAGGCTGACAAATGTCTGATATTGTATCAGACCGACAACTATCTCATCGAATACTTGGATAAAATATCTGATCTAACAGACAAATGTCACTGAAAAATGTTGTCTTATTGTAATAACTATGATTGTAGAATACTTACTAGGAACAACTTTTAACGTGACGTCAGCACTGGTCTGTTGAACAACTTGTGGGTTAAACTTATCCTGTACCTCACACCGGAAGTTGGCACCATCCTCAAACATGCTCGGATTAAACTCCAAACTACTGTTAATCACTGTGGAACAGTTTTTCATAGTCACGTTATTTACTGGTGAAACGCTAAAGTCCATGAAACTCGTACCGAATTCCGGTTTGAATTTCCAGACGACAGTAGCGCTGGATCCCCAAACTTCGGTGACACAACGTAAAGTTATTTTCCTGTCTTCAACTATTGCATGAGGTAGGATAATAACTGGTTCTGGCATGTAAACTTAAAAAAAGAAATAAAATAAAAAAAGATAGAAACACAAAACAAAATAAAATAAAAACAAAAACAATCCAAACTATTGAATAACTTCAAATTAAAAAAAAAAACACTATTGAAATAAACTGATAAATAAATAAATATATATAAATAAATAAATAAATAAATAAATAAATAAATAAATAAATAAATAAATAAATAAATTAATAAATAAATTTAAAAAATAAATACAAATTTAAAGATAGATACAGAAAAAAAGAAAATAAACAGATAAAATCAAATGAGAATAAGTAAATAAAAAAGATAAATATTAATAAACACCCCCAACACACAAAACCTCCATTAAAACAACAACAAAGTACAACAAAAACGACCACTAGATTGTATATATAAATAATTTAAGGCGCAATTTTAGGTTATGTAAAATAGTCACATAGTCACTTAGTAAATGTTTAATTCTGTTGAGGTTTTAAGTCACACCGTAAAATGGTGACCTTTTAGCTTTACTGGTGAGAAAAGACGACAGGTGCCTCTCCGTGCATTATTTCAGGCACTAATGGGTTCATGAGTAGAACCACCGACCTTCCGTATACGAAATAGATAGCTTGCTCACATACAAGAATCCAAAGTCCCTGGCGGAATACGAATCCTGGGTTAAGTGGTTCGAATTCAACGACCTTTATCACTCGGCCACTGATTAAAACATATTGAAACATGTTTTTGTTCAAGTGCAATACTTTAAACTTTACAAGTTTAAGGTTAAACAACATGTTGAATAAATATTTACGATTCATTGCAAAATAAATAACGTAAAACCATATTCAAAGTTATCACTAAATCCAACTCTTCAATCATGGTTCAGAAGAAAAAAATATGAGGCGAAGTGGGTGGGCAAAACTTATTGTGTAATATATACGATAAAAACACATACAAAAACACACAACAAGAACAAAAAAAAAAAAAACAAACTTCACATATTTTTGCGAAATTAACATGTCATTATTAAACAATACTACATGTAGTAGTTTAAACATTCGACTTTTGTGAAACGTTTCATACGGACATTATTAAAACCACCACTTTAAATTACTGTAATATAAATCAACTGTCAAACTCTATAACAAGAAAAATCTGTTTTCATTTACACAACAACATTCATATTAAGCCTAACAATATCGGCAAATGAATGATGGCCGTACTTGAAAATATGCAATTTTAATATATTTGTAAACATCTTTCAATGTTTTTTAAATATTAAAATATAAAGCTTTAAATATGTCATTTCAATTTAAGGTACAGGTTCAAAGTCATCGATCACAATTGTCTCCTGCCTCATCAATCAACTAATACAGTATCAGATATTGACAATGTACAGTGTCACCTGTTAACATAGGCCATGTTTTAGACCATGTTTACAATCTCGATATATTTTAATCACTTTTACTTTCAGGCTGACTTTCGTACGGGATGCACTGTAATTCAACTTTTTTGTGAAGAAAATTTACAGGTAATTTCGATGATTCTGAGTTCTTGGTCCAACCAGCCCTGGTGTCAAATGTGGAAACATTGTTATGCTCGAATCCGAAGTAGGGCTTCATCCAACGACCAAAGAATTTAGAGGCTGACGTTAAGCAACTAGATAACTGACCCGCAAGAGCATTCAAGAGCGGATTCCAAGCAGGGCTCAAACAAGAGACCAAAGAACTGAGAGACAGATACCTTATGGCGTGTTTTGATTTGATTTGACTTGATTTTGCTTTACATGTTTACAAGTTACATCTAACTCGTTTATAAGTTATACTTAACTTGTTAACAAGATAACACTACTTAATAAACACGCTCACATATAAAAGAAAAGCTGTTTTAAGAAATAGCAAAAAATAAGCTTTTATTTTTGAAGCCATATTTTATATTTCTGTTTTGCACGATTTATTATAAATAAATGTAGGATGACGTCAAATATTGCATCTGTAAAATTTTGTCAGACATTGTATATGGTAACAAAAGAAGATAATCTGTCTGTTTGTAAAAAACAACAAAATATCATATGAAAATAAATACAGCATAAAAAGTAACTTACTCGAAATATTTGCCCTTGTGGACGCTGCCTCGTCTTCATTTACCATTGCACACGTAAAATTGGTAAGTTCAGCGCACAGAAAAGGGTCAAATGTTATAATCAATGTCACGTCAAATTCATTAATGTTGATCACATGAGTCACATTGGGATAAAACTTAAACACTTCAACTTCATTTAGTTCATTAAGCACGGCTACAGCGACTGGCTCGTAGCCGTCCTTGAACTGTCGTCTGATTGTCAGCGTTCTCCAGTTACCTTGGTGACGACCTTCACAACTCAAGGTCACTGATTTAACATCATCGGGATGGTAAAGAATCTCTGACATAGAGACGGCTTGAAAAATAAAATAAAATACATGTATAATATTGAGTATTATGAAAGCATTGCTTACTATATCACTACAAATTAGGTATAAAATCAGTATTATTTTCATTAACTGCGGGCCTATTTTTATTTAAGAACTTAAGTTAAATGGTTTCTTAAGTAAACATCAGTAATATCTCAAATATCATTATGTTAAAACATTAAGAAAAACTCGTTTCCAAATATTGATTATATCGTGAATTGATAAGATATTGTTAGCCGAGTGTAACTCATTTTGAATCGAAATATTTAAGTATAAAAGAAATCGAAACAACAATTTCACTGAAGTTTTTTTGACATGACTTAACTGGAAATATTATTTCGAGGTGTTTGTACCATTTAATAAAGTTGGAAACATTTAAAACTCAAGCACAAAATTCGATATTAATTTTATTCTGAATATACTTCTTTAAATGTCTTCGTTTGTACATGTTCCCTGTTAATTGCCCAAGTTGATTATGTAAATATTTGATACATTATTTTTCTATGTTTTTAGAACTCAATGTAGCCCCTTTGTGTTTATATTGACTTCAATAATCTTGAATCATGATAACTTACATAAATTACTTTGCTTTGTTCCTGTTGGTGTAGTAATTGTGTCTGTTGTTACTTTCTGCGGCGTAGTAACATAAGTTTGGTTGTTCGTAGGCAATTGCGTCACGGTTGTTGTTGCTGTAGCAGAAGATGTAGGCAAAGTGCTATTCTGAAAAGACAAAACAACAAAACAACCGAGTTGTTGTTTAGCATACATTCAGATTTATTTCTTTTTTTTTATTACAATTTAAAATAATGTATATCATATTAAAGAAAAATGCTCATGCATTATTACTACACGATAAAATACATGTTTCCCTTTCCAAAGAAGAAAAAAAATGTATTCATTTATGAGGCTTCATGTCCCTTCAAATAATTCTAAATGATTTCCTGAATATGGCCTGGCTCAAACATGTGACGTCATGACACATTTCTGTATGCTGTGTAGCATTGTAACTTGATAAAAATATATTTAAATCTGCATTTAATAAATTTCATAAAAATAGAAATAGCGACATTTCATTCATATCAACTCAAGATCTTATTTTGGTGTCCAGACCATCAAAATGAGTTTTATAAGCATAAAAATCTGCAACCTCATTGTCGCGAAATCAGAAGTGCAATTTCTGTTTGCATGAGAAACTCCGCCTATGGATCATCCCTCAACAAAAATGGCTTTAACCAGCAGTCCTAATTTAATGGTATATTTCTGCATTGTAACGGATGTTTTCATACAAATTTAACCTTTTTTTATAAGATGATTACTTTTTTCTGAACGCCAGGCCTAATGCACCGTGAAGCTAAAACGGTTAAAGTGTGTTTGCACATGAAACTCTCATATTTGCTGTGTTCCTGATAACAATTATAACACTGTGACGAACTGATTTTATTTTTATTTTTTATTTGCATGCGAACTTTAGTGTTACCGTGAGGTTTTCCGTATAAAATAGTAATTCATGAATAATATTTGATGAGATTTACAACAATACAGTTCATAAGGTTAATGAAACTGTAGAAAGCTTGGTTTTTAGGCCGACGGCAAAATATTTTTACATATTTATTTAATGCAGCTTTAACCAAACCTGTGAGGTCTTTTTTGTTGTGGACGGTGTTGATATAGAAGTAGCCGACACAGTTGAAGACGTGGTTGAAGTTGTTGATGCTGCAGTTATCGTCGTTGACGGCGTCGTCGTAGATGCTGTTGTTGTTTCTACGGTTGTTGTTTTGGTGGTCAATGTTGTTTTTGTCGTAACTGGTTCTACAGTTGTTGTCTCTGTTGTTTTTGTTCCTTCTGAAGTTGTTGTCAATGTTGTTATAAGTTTAGAAGAAGAAGTAGAAGGGGATGAAGAAACTGTGTGTGTTGTCTTTTTAGGTAAGAATGAGCTTGTTTCTATGGTTACTGAATACATAAGAAGTAAAACAATGTCAAAAACAAATTGTTTAAAAATAGTATGCTTATTGCGGTATTTTTCTAAACAAAAGCAGAAGGAAGAAAATTAAATATTTTATTTAAACTAGGACTTCATGCAAAAGAGTATTTCATCGAAAACAAAAAAGTTCTTTGTTTAAAGAAGTGAGAAAAAAACAACACAAAATTGTGATTCAAATTTGTAATTGCAATTACCGAAAAGACTCTATTTCTTAAATAATTGAGCCGTTACTAACTATCTAGACCCTTTCGGTCCAAAGACTATACCTTTTTTCGTTTTTTTCCGTTCGGTTTTTACGTTAAGCCATTTAGCTGAACAAATGTAAGAGAATCACAAATGATTAAAGAATTGTAAGAACAGAACAGTTCGTTGTTATTTCAAATTATGACGTCATTTTTCTGACATCAACATGGACCAAAATTGGCCAACGAGTCTAAATGATATGTTTAAACATGAATATTGAAAAACAGTCACCTGTGTGTTTTACTTCTTCCGTATTCCCTGCAGATTTGTCTAAAACATAAACGCAAGAAATATATTTAATGGTACAAAAAGGTATAAAAAATATAATTTTAAAATTTAAGTAAATATATCGTTTTCATTGAGCCAGTCAAGTAGTTTACCAAGCGACGACACAAATTTGGTTTCTAATAACTGCTTAGAATATAACAATTTTAAACTTTAAACTTGTTCAGAAAAAAATGCTTAAAGTAAGTGAAATATCTGTGTATTTTCTTTTAGATAATATTATGGTTTACTTTTACTTATATAGTCATTGTTAGAATATATACATGTATTTGTTATACAAATCTATTTTTAAGCAGAATATGGCCGCTTAAATTGCGCGATCAGTTGCTTTCGGTGTTAAGCCACATGAGCTAAAGTGAGCTCAGTTTGAACCGTTTATTCTTAGGATTCAAAAGGCAAGCTTTCTTCATTTTCATTTTTTTGCACGAAGTTCTGAATGCTTTTCATATGACGAAGTTTCCTTTATTCCTTAATTCAGTATTATGGACTTTGAATAAGAATAATAATAAAAGGCCAAACAAAGAACCAAACAATCAATTCTAACTATCAATTCATTTTAGACAAACCATATAGTTCGCCAAAGGAGAAGTTCTATATGATACGTCATTCGTTCTCATCCTTTTCCATTATTAAAAAATATATTGTTGTTTGTTTGCACATTATATATACTTTTAGGAAAAATATGTTAAGACCAAAGGATTGGTTTTACATCAATGTTATAGTTTTTATACATTTAATGATAAGATCAAAGGTGAAAAATCAGTATGTGTCTTTCGGAAAGCATATTATGCGCCAGAAACGAACACTTAAATTAATTTTAAAAAAAACAAAATCCATTATCAGAAATAACAAAAACAAAACGAAAAAATAGATTTTAAACAATATGTTTTTTGTTATCAAAAGCTTTAAAAAATTTTGTTACCCCTTGGAAATAAAATATTCTGTGTGGACTTTCAATTTAATATTATCTTTACTGCTTAATTTTAATATATGAACAAGGTAATTAAACATAAATGACACGCGGATTGGACCTTTTAACTTTTGAAAAATTTTTTCATGCCCTTTATTTTGAAACGTAGAGATCACGGAAAATTTTTGGTTACCTTAACATTTTTTCCATCCTTTAGAAAAAAAAACAAAACAAAACAATAATGAATATAGACAAAACCTTATGGCAATTCATAAATAAATGCAAAATCCAATTGCAAAAAGAATACAATTAAAAACCAACCAATTTTTTTTCAAACAAGTAGGGGGTCGTATACAATATCCATAAAATAATAACAAAACAATACAATAAAAAAAATACAATACAATAGATATACAATATACAATACAATAAATACATAATACAATACGATACGATATACAATAAAATATACAATACAATACGATACGATAAACAATGCAATTCAATACACAATACAATACAAAACAAAAAGATACGATATACAATACACAATACAATACAATACAACACAATACAATACAGATACAAATACGATACGAGATATGATACGATACGGTAAAATACGATACGATGCGATGCATTACAATAGAATACAATATAATACAATACAATACAATACAATACAATACCATACAATGCAATTCAATGCAAATGCAATACAATGCAAATGCAATTCAATGCAAATGCAATGCAATACAATACATTTACATACGATTCGATACGAAAAACTACCATTACAAAAGTCAAACATAGGAACAAACAAAAATGAGATCAGATACAATGGTGATAAAATTCTATAGTGAAATTTTTTGTCAATATTAGTGCATGCCATTTTTTCTTTTTATTAACTTTTAGCAAAAACACAAAAAAACTTATTTGGGTTTTTTTTAACCAAAAGAACTCCATTGTTTGATAAAAGTATTTTAAAACAAACGAGAGAATTACAAGTTCACTCTTGACAAAGCTAAACACATTAAGACTGGCATTTCAATGGCACGAATTACCTTGACACTGTCCATTTCTAAAAAGGTTTCAGTAGACATGCAATTGCCACATTGTCACGAGTACAAAAGAGGCAAAATAGTTCCCTAGCAAATGTTTTAATTTCCATCCTTCATTGTTCAAATTAAATCAAATTTATTCTTGATCTTATTTAAAAATTATAATGCGATAGGCTGAGGTACATAATAATATAATTGAGCCGCGTCACGACAAAACCAACATAGTGGGTTTGCGACCAGCATGGATCCAGACCAGCCTGCGCATCCGCGCAGTCTGACCAGGATCCATGCTGTTCGCTTACCAACTCTATTACAAGTGGAGAAACTGACAGCGAACAGCATGGATCCTGATCAGACTGCGAGGATGCGCAGACTGGTCTGGATCCATACTGGTCGCAAACGCACTATGTTGGTTTTGTCGTGACGCGGCTCAATTATATCTGAAGAAAACCACCACAATGCCCAAGAATACAACGGCGAGACCACAACCTGTCTAAAATCTGTCTTAAACCGAACCACAACTGTCTATAAATAGATGAATTGAGATATTCCGAAGGCACTTCCGGCTATAGATCATGTAACCACAAGGCAGTATTTTGAACGTTTTTATTTACGGGCCATTGTAAAAAATACGTTTAAACGGACCGATATAATCTCTGTAACGCATTTATAAGATTATCATAAGTCAATTCACAATTTGTTATTTGGACTAGTTTTTGCTTGTAAATGACTTGTTGACAACATATTTGAAACCGGAAGTTTGATACGTCACCAGATTCCTTCTTGGAACAATAGGATATCTGTTGTGGTTTGCCACAACTTTGAACTATCGTTCCGATGTATTGACACACTTAATTATAATATATTGGAAAGGATAAGACCATTGCCTCCGTAAAACGTGTAAATAATGGTTAAAGTCTTGTTACTGTAAGACTAAACTCGTCAGCAAAAACTTCGTAAAAGCCGGGAATATTCCGACATGGCCCCTGACCTAGAAAGATGAAATATGCATTCGTATGACCAAGATCAACAGCATAAGATACATAAAGATTCGGCATACTTCGGCATTGTTCGTGACAACGATAGTCCAATAAGCATTAATATGACCAAGATCAACAATGCAACTTCGTATATGCTCAATGTTTTGCAAGTTTTTGAAGAATCCGGCAGTGACGAAGACACAAGATCTGCCGCTAGATGGAGTGCCTTGATGGTATAAAGAGCTGTTTAATTATTTAGATTGTGCAAGTGGAGCCAGTACTAAGACCTTCGATGGTAAAACTACTTAGTCTTTTAACTGTCTAAACTTCAAGCATCTTCTTACTAGAAGTTTATTATGTAAGCCTTATTTTGACACACTTTTCATTAAAAAATAGTTTCTAAAGCGTTGAGCTAACAAGATCATTTCTTGCTCAAGCTCACTCAGACGCTAATTACAACTTATACACATACGATTCGTGACGGGACATGCTTCGGCGGAAACTTACGAAGTTATGTATCTCACAAGGGTATCTTCTTTTTTTAAAATCATAAAATTTAACAAAACAAACTTTGTGATTTTCCTTTCATTATAACAATCTCTTTATAACACACAAACTGTAGGACCCGTGTTTACAAAACGTCTGTGCATGACGAACACCATAAATCAACCATTTTACTGTATTTTTCTTCATAATTCATCTTATGCAATTAAACCGTTGAAAATTAAAATTAAACACGAATAATATTAAACTTAATAAGTCAGGAAATCTGTAGTGTTTATTGTTAGAAGTGCATGTACAATAACACTTGAAAGAAAGAGGAATTCAAAATTAGCCCCTTAATCAAGCTGGTTGACAGAATATGTTGACATTTATCTCTAGATATAACAAAAACAGTACGCATCTATTTAATTTGACATACGAGCGCTATTTTATAATCGTATTTTAACTATGTCAAAGTTAAAAGTTAAATTAAGCAACAATGCATGGTGAAAGACATATTGTGTTTGTTTTTTGATAGAACGTCAACCAGAAATGAGGTTAAATAAAAAAACATTACATTGTACAGTCCATGGGGACCGTTTGTATGCAAAAAAGGTCAATGATGGATAAACGTTATATCAATGTAAAGCTTTCTAATTGAAGTGTTTAATTTTTTTTTAGAACATATGGAATCATGGTTCTTTTTGAGAAATCAAAGATGGCAAACAAGATGGCTGCCAAATAACTGGAAAATAGTTCAAATTCATTTTATCTGATAAAATGAGTTTTTTTTTGGTATTTGATCTAGTAATATGAAATAAGAATTTCATATCCAGTTGGAACAATATGAAAATGAGACTTCATCTATTTTTTACATATGAGCCGTGTCACGACAAAACCAACATAATGGGTTTGCGAACAGCATGGATCCAGACCAGCCTGCGCATCCGCGCAGTCTGATCAGGATCTATGCTGTTCGCTATCAGTTTCTCTACTTGTAATAGGGTTTGTAAGCGAACAGCATGGATCCTGATCAGACTGCGCGGATGCGCAGGCTGATCTGGATCCATGCTGGTCGTAAACCCATTATGTTGGTTTTGTCGTGACACGGCTCAATTATAATAATGATCCTTCGCTGTTGAGTAGATAACTTGACGTCATTTACTTATAATAATTGCTGTTGGTTTCCATGGGACCTCGCTTTTTTCAAATGTTGAAATAATGCATCAAAAAGGATGGGGCGAAGGAGCGGGGATTGGGGAGTCATAAAAAATCACTTTTCCAAAAGTACATGCAGCTGAAATGTCGCTATTTAAAATTTAGATTGCGGGTTTCGACTTAAAACCTGAAATAATCGCCTCTCCTATAACCCGAATGAAATATTATTGTAAAAAAGTGTTTTTTATTATTTAAATCTTAATGTATCCGGGATTGTGACTTAAAAATAAATAATAAGTAAATAATTACTTTATCTTTAATATGCCTATGACGGTTATATAGTATTTCACGAACAAAAAACACGTTTTGAAACCACATTGTGCCTAAATAATGTCATTTAAATGTAAACAACGAAGAAATGA